CACACTGCCGCTTTTCCTCGTCGATCTCCTTTGTCTGTCCGAACCTAGGATATCTTAGCTCTAACCAAGAAAGGTTACAAATTAATATGGATTACAAACGAGACACACTGGAAACTAACTCGTCCCACAATGACTCTGACTGACTTTTTTAAATTCAAAGTTAATTATACTGCTCGCGATAGATTACAGCTCATTGGATGGTGAAGTAATACTTCATGACAGGAAAACAACAACAACTCACCGGAAGAAGGAAAGGATGACTGTGCCGCTGGTGATACAGCGTCGTCTTTAGGAAAGAAAGGTTCAGCTTTGTCTGGAAAATAGTTGATCGAATGATTAGCTAATTTTGAAACTATTTGCAAAGTTCTGGTATATCACTTTTTTTTATCACATTTTTACATGTTTTCCACCGTTGTTAATATCTGTTTGTGTTCCTTTCCTTTTTAACGGCTTCATGTTTTGCAACTGGCAGCATTTTCAGCAAACGCGGAAAGCACATGCCACTATCGCGTCACAGTTAACTAACGACAAACAACTGATGGTGAATTCAATTTTTAATGTAACTTACTTGTCCCATGATCTGCCGGTTCAGCGTAATGATCTTCTACTGTCAGGGGAGCCGACAAAATACCACGTTCGACATCATGATCGGACGACAATTCTCGATACTTACGGCAAGGCACACGACACAATGCTGTAATTTGTTTCCGTTTGCGAAATGTCACAAAGGTTAAGGCAGTGCCCAACAAGGATCCCATCAGAGAGAAGAAAACCAACCAGCCAGGTTTACCAAAGCGCCTTTCGGAACTTCCTATGAAATTCAAAGTTTAAAACTGTTTTACTTTAAAATTAAGATCACATGGGAGAACGGAGATGGGATCAGTCGTTGTCAACAAAGCATAAAGGGAAGACTATTGAAAATCGACTGCTAAATAACTGCTAATGAGTGGAAGGGGGGGAGAAATCAAGAGAATATAAAAGAGCCTTATGGGGGATCAGGTAAATTTTATCATAACACAAAGAAGATCCTCTCACTTCCCTCCCCCCCTGACTAGAAATAAGGACCGATCCCTTAGTCAAATGAGCGCGCTCATCAAACATTACTCACAATTTTTTTTTCATCTTCAATTGTGATCTGCATAAGTAACACACTGAGCCTTTTTTAGATTGTAATTGTCGGCAGTTGTGTTTGTTGTTAACGCTGGCGAATCCCACTTTCTTGACTTATATCAGGTATTTAAATCTCACCGATAGTAGATTGAACCCTTTAACCTCTAAGACTGATTAGCATCTAATTTCTCCTGACACAACACTAGTGATGCAACCAGTAAGGTAATGAGAATAAAGGAAATGATCACCAACCAAAGAAGTTCTTAATTGTTAATCAATTTCTCTTTGTCAGCACTGTTGGAAATGTATAGAGAACAGTATGGAGAATATGCCAATTGATATTAAGGTGTAAATTAAGCGCCGGTTAACTTACCCTTCTGCGAGGCTTCTGGTTCATTATCACTTTTAGGTTCTGTCGGAAAAAAGGCTGATGTTGTCGATTTTGACGGCAGTGTTATCTCAGTCTTCTGGCTCGAGACCTGTTTTGTCGTCGCTGTGGTCGACGGTGAGGTAACTGGTGTAGTCACCGGTACAGTAGTAGGTGGGATTGGACGACATACTTTATCAACTTCATATTTCCTATGACAAGATATGACAAAACAAGAATTTCTGATAAAGAAACCAGCACGATATCCCATAATAAGCCTGGTACTGCAATATCATTAGTCTCCAGTGAGTCCCAACACAAGATTGTACAGAATCTTGTGGAATGCATAACAAATAGCGCGAGTGAGTTAAAAAGAGCCCTTCCACTATTTTAACGATTGGAGACTTTCCCTTTGCCACGATGAGTACCCGTCAAAAAGATCATACACTGAGGAACTATGATAGCAATTTGAAATTGGGGCAAAAGGACAGCTGACGCTTCAGACTAGACAGGGCTGAGAGCATGTTGCTGTTTTTGAGGTAGTATTGCGCGCTGTTTTTATTACACATCTTACCCTATTTTCAACGACTGACTTTGGAGAGCTGGTTTGACTTCCGCTCAGGTTATCGAAGCGTCAGTCAATAGTACCGAAAACAGTCCTCCTCAGGACTACACTCACCCGGACGATCAGACACCTAAGTCAAATATCTTACCCTTTGGGACATTCATTGGCACAAACAGTATCGCTAATCGCCGTGCATGGTTCTATTTGAACTTCATCATCACTGCACGACTGGCAGCGAGGACAGCCCCTGGTAGATTTCTTGTCCTGGAAAAATCCTGTACGACACTTTTTACACATATGACCCGTCTTCGCCCCCATTTCATTATGTCCACAGTTTCTTGTGTGCTCTTCTCCAGGGTCACAAGCCGGGCAAAGTTCACAGCGTTTTGTGCTTAGGTCATAATACGTAGCAGAGCTGCATATCTCACCCCCAACTATGATCTAAGAAAAGCAAAGAGAAAAGTGATGGTCAACCTATAAAATCTCCTCATAAGCCTTATATTAAGGTCGTGAGAGGATGAAATTTTACAGAAATGCTGTACTGAGTTTGAGAACTGACCAAGTTACACGGAGGAAGACTGGTTGGTATTACATGTATTATATTTTCGGAGGCTTGACTGGACCGAACTTTCGTTTCCGAAAGGCGAGGAATGGTACAGGGAGGGTATTGTACATGAACCGAATGCCAAGAGGACCTAGATGAAAATCAACATGGCGAGGACGGCATGCTAAATGCGAAAGAAGGGAACGAGCATCTAATAAAAGCGTGGTGAAGGTAAATCTTTCTGCTAAAACGGCTTTATTGAGACCGATCGAAAAAATCCTTATTGCATTTCATGTCGTCGACAATCTTTCAGTTTCTGCTCATGTGTTAATAAAAAAATTTTTCTCAAGCAAGGATTATTAAAATCTATAAAACTATGCCTTTATTCAGAACATTGAGGTTAGCGTCTTTTTTTCCCGCATTTCAGCCTTTAACTAAGTTCATTAGTGAGTCTATAAAAAAAATAATTTGCTTCGCTGTAATTTTTAATTGTGTGCAACTAAAAGCTACGACTGGGTATTGGAATCCTGCTTCGAAGAAGCAATATCTACCTCAATAATTTTCAAGGAAAACATCACGAATATGTAGGCCACTCTAGGAAACTCTTCGAAAATTATGACAAGATTCGCCCAACTGTGGGCAATATGACTGACCACATTGATAATCCAATGAGGACAATTAAGTTTATGGATTTACATAAAGCACAGTACTTAAACGAAAATTAAATCAGTTAAAATCATACGAACTAAATCCGTGTATTCTGAAGGAATTATGTGCGTCGTGGAAGGGAAAGTTTTTCGATGATGGAAATAAAAGTACGTAAGTCGACAGTTGCTTATTCCTAGAAGTTTCGTGGAAGACAAAGTGGACTAGTTGACGTAATAACTTGGATTTTTTTCACAGACTACAAAATTGTGTTTCTCAAACGGGAAAAAAGACCACGTGCCTTTCCTAATGCTTAGCAACTTACTTCTATATTTTTTTGTACTTATTTGAGCCTAAATTATATTTATACATGGAGACTGTTGTTGATGTTAGTCATCAGCCAAAAAATCTAACTCGTAAACTTCCGAGTTTCTTTAAATTAGATCAAATGTACTTACGTCGTGGAAGAAAAAGGGGTGGCACAATACTAACAAAATGCTAATTTTCTCCATAGCATCAGCAGATTTGAAATCGCGGTCGAACCAGATTGCGGCAGATCTTTAGATAACTGCACCAGGCACTGTGAAAACAGTACTAAGTGAAATGAGATACAAAAGCCAGCACACCTAAAAGCTATTTGTTTCCCGCGTGTGGGAGTGTACTTTCGAAACGTCATGTGAGTTCATTGAGTACTTTAATAGTTAAAATTAGGTTCTTTCCCATAAATAAAGACACTTCCTTACAATATTATTGAATCTTTTAATCTTGTTGGTAGTCGACGTGTAAAAATTGTTCTTCAAGGCTTAAACTGTCTTTAATCTAATTCTTCAAGCGGTCATGACTTGTAGTATTAGCATAAAATAGCATAAAACATCTCAGATCAATTTTCTGAAACGAAGCTGTAACGCAACTGAAGCAGAGAGTGACGCATTGTACGTTTATTTCTTAGTAAGCGAATGACTTCCGCTGTTAATTTTGACTTCCTCTTTTAAGTGGAACACCATGAGGATTATATGAGCCTAACACACAACTTTCAGGAGCTGAAAATGTCCCAGGAAAGCAAAAAATTGTCCTAATTAAGTAAACTGCAGTCCAATTACTTGTTATTTCTCAATATTTCGCTTTCTTGTAGAGTTGTTAACCTTGACCGAGCACAATCAGTGGCTATTTTCATATTCTGATATCATCATTTCACAGAGACGGAAAAAGACAGTTGCTGAGCACACCGTCAAACGAAAAGCTCAAATCTTGCTAAAAGAAACTGAAACTTGTTCTATTTAAAATTGAAGGGCCTGGGAAAAAAAATTAGAGAATAAAGATATCTTGGTGGTTGGTTTGATAGCATACTTATGAAGTATTTTGACAATATTGTAAATTCTTCCTGTATATTTTCATATCTTTTAATATTTATCAACGTTTGCTTAAAAGTTAAAATCAAGATACAAATTAAGTTCGTCGAACAGAACTTTGATGACTGGCAGAGTCGTCCAACCTAAATGTTCGGGGAGGTTTTCAGAGTCGTTGACCTATAATGTTCTTCAAAGAGGTTGGGATACCTTTTCACCGTCTCGAACCGCGAACGAAGGAGGCAGTGATCCGAGCCCTTCGCTCAGTGATAAGCGATCTTCTGCGGCTTTGACAAAGATCAAAGAACTAAGAATCGAAGCTTTCGCTTTTCGTATGGTTTTTTCAATTGATAACCTTAAATCCCCTATAAAAATAACCCCAGAAAATCAAGTACAAAAGACACAATAGATGTATAACACCGGCTGGCCTTGAATAGGAAAACCTCTTTATTAAAGAATGAAATAACAAAGTCTGTAATATGGTCACCTGTAAATCGTGCGTCAAGAAATGAAAGTCACTTAGAATCCTAAATCGAAGTTTCGAATTCTGTTGGCGTAAACATCGCACACCGGAAGTGAATTGTGATGTACGCTCAAGAAACACAAACGAATCTGATCGTATGCTTTTGCTTTTCGCGGGTCTACTCTTGAACTTAAACTTGGAAAAGATTCTCTTAATGAAGGGTTTGGGAGGAAGTGTGGAGCGCTCGAAATGTTTCCTGCTCGTAGGGAAAGTCCCGTGATGAATATTCAAACACTTGGACAGGAAATACGCACAATTGCCTACTTAATCGCTTGGGCGAAATTTTCCAGGATTTCCATGTTACAACTTCAGTTGTAACTCCCGTAAAATACATCCCAGCTGCATCAACTTCTCATTTTCCTTTCTATTTTTAGATAGAGCCAGAGTTGTTTTCGCGGAAAAAAAGGTCACCAAGAGGTTTCCCTGTTTGTCATTATATATAGCTGCTAACAAAGACATCATGTCTTCAATGAAGATGTCGTAAGCAGATGAAAAGTGAAACAATTAGCGGCAATAAAGGAATGTACGTCATTCATCGAGTCTTTCCTTGTCACTTGTAAAACTTGTTTTTGTTAAAAATAGATTCCAAAATATCACATCGGCAAGAAAGAAAAAAAAATAACTCGAAGAGGCAAAAATAAATTATGAATAAGGGTGAACAAGATGTAGGAGGTTGCAACTGATGAACGAATGTAATAAATTCGTCTTTCGCATTCACAACAACGTACGTTATGGTAATCAGATATGATCGCGTTAGATTATATTAAAAGATAATATCTATTGAATTCTGTTGAAGATGTCGTAAAACGAATTGGTTTTCTGTTTAGACTATACATGATGCCCTTGAGAAATATCATTCAAACATTGAAAGACATATTTACCACAGAGGAACTGCAGCACAATGGGTATTTGATAATCCAACTCAAATGGAATGACTGAACTCGGGAAAAAACTTATCTGCTTACAATTCTACTCGCTTTATTTAAATTACACGAACAGGAAGTTTTTAAAATAGCCGCAAGCAAAAGGATATCCAATGCCGTCATAAATGACCCTCCTCTTTGTGTATTCTGTTTATGCTTAAACTTGAAAGATGAAGGCTTGGAATGGAGAAACGAGAGGATCTGACAGATACACAATCGAGCACTTTGTCTGTTTGTTCTTCCATCATAATTTCGTCAATATGGCCCATGACTGTGCTCGCATGACGAATCATTGGCTTACTCTCTTTTTTCCACTTTAATCTGCAAAAAGCGTCAATAAAAAACATTAAAGCGAACTAACGATAACATGATTCACATCTCAACCCCGTTGTTTCTTACTAATCAAAACTACAGCTCTTTAAATTTCCAAGTTTCTTCTGTGGTTGTGCTATGCGACGCTCGAGTGATTTCTCGAGCGCGAAGTCGTGCCTAGTGTATGGGAAAAGTGGGCATAGGGCTCCTATGAATTTGTCTTCAGTGCACACCCTTCAAGGACCGAAGCCAAAGTGTGAGCCTAAAATCAGTTCAAGTCAGCCTCTACTTTTTTATCTGCGTCAGTCCTTTTAATCATTCAGTACAAATCCTTACTCTTTTTTTATTAAATCTTTCCAGTTTCATGTTTTGTCATCTTAGCAAAATGATACAGCATTGCGTGTTTTCCTTCGAGTAAAGCTAAATTTTTTTACTTGCAAAAAAACAAATCAGCATTTAGTTCCCTGAAGCAACACATTTGAACATTCATTAATGGCTACCTCTCTACTAGACCCAATTTTTTTCTAGTTTCCCTCTAGCCCACGATCCATACACTCATCTTAATTCCACTTCTCCACGCTGGCAAAGGCCTTAAAAAACGAATCCTAGCTGCCAAAGATGACCTCTTAAAAAAAGTCAGCTAATCACTAGCGAGCGACCGGTGTAACAAAACATGATAATTTGGTTTCATCGACTGAGTTGATAACGTAAATTGGCCTCCGTAAAGAGTTTCTAAAGCTCACGTTTCGAGTGGAGCCCTCCGTCTTTTGCGCTGTAAAAAGCGCTAACGCTCGAAACTTTCGTCAGAGCAAATGACGAGGGACTAACGCTCGAAACGTGAGCTTTAGAAACTCGTACAAAAAAATTTATGACTCGATTAATAAAACCATGTTTTTTTTAATACCCCCACTGCCGACGCAGCACCACAGTTTCTTTTGCAACCTACCCCCTTTTAGAAAAATAGGAGACAACTTGCTTAAGAAAACACCTCTAAAACTAATTGATTCTGCCAGAAAATCATCCTTGCCTACCTGACAAAAAGGATAATAATTCCCGCAACAATGATGAAAGCCACAGCCCCTGACACCGAACCAATAATAACTTGCCGCTGAGCTTGCACTTTAGAGACTCTTGCTTTCGCTGTCTTTGGTGTAGATCGGCCTTCAGCTGATGTAGATAAAAAATGACAACTGCAAGATCAAACCATCACCTCATGAAACTGGTTTCGTTTCATTACAATCGCTGACTGGTTTAGAAAGCTTTCCCTAACTTTTGCGAATTTTCTCGTGCTTAAGGCTCATGGATTGTTTTTTTCAAATGAGTTGTTTCTGATTTCTTGTTTTATTTCCTTTGTCTTAATTGGCCGTGGTGATTATTATCTGGTTATGGGGTTTTACGACTCTCAGTCGAAAAGTGCTTTCAAAGATCAACGTCCCTTCCATTAACAGAATAAGCATGCGCGGATGGTTAAGGGCACGCGCAATCTCATTCTCAGAGGTCACGTATCCCTAATCCCTTGCGGGTGGGGTCTCCGCCCACAAGGGATAAAAAGAGCATGACACCTGGGAACGAGACTGGTGCACAGGTGGAACAAGTGTTCATTACCACGCGTGCTCTTATGACAAATACCTGTGCAGTTGTATCCGTCTCCAAGGAATCCACTTTTACACTGGCAGATGTAGGATCCGTTTAATTCTGTACAATTTGCGTTTTTGGAACAATCCGAGCTTGACACACAATTGTGGTGAGGTTGACAAGAGTTTCCGCTCTCATAAAAACCTTTATCGCATTTGCATTTGTAAGACCCTGGTGTGTTCAGACATTTCGCGTTTTCACCGCAGTGATAACCGTTTTGGGTACATTCATTAATGTCATCGCAATCCAAGCCGTTTCCATTGAAGCCCGGTGAGCAAATACAGCTGTGCGACCCATTTGAGTTCACACAAATAGAATTAACATGACAATTATGTTCTCCACGTTCACATTCGTTGATATCCGCACAGTCAACACCATTACCTGTATATCCTGTTTTACAAATACATCGGAAGGAGCCAGGCGTGTTGGTGCAAGTTGCATCGGAATGGCATTTATCGATTTTTGTATGACTGTTGTTGACATCGGTATAGTTGGATTTATTTCCAGTCAAACCTGAATCTGTATTCAGCAAGCACTCGTCGACATCTTCACAGTTAGAACCATTTCCGGTAAATCCTGTTTTACAAGAGCACTTAAAGGATCCCTGATAATTTAAACAGGTTGCATTTAAGTGACACTTGTCGACCTCCGATGCGCACGCGTCCGTATCATTACAATTAAATCCATCACCTGTGTATCCTTGGTGGCAACTGCAATTGTAAGATCCGGCAGTGTTTAAGCATGAGGCATGCGCATCACAGCTATGTAACTTTTGCGCACACTCATCGACATCAATACAAGAATTGTCATGAGCAATAAACCCTGCTGAACAGTTACATCTGTAGGAACCAAGAGTATTAATACAGTTTGCAGAAATATTGCACTGATGAGCTGATGAGGCACACTCGTCTACATCGCTACAGTTGAATCCATTTCCACTGAATCCTTCGTTACAAAAGCATACTGTGTTATTGAAACATGAAGCATTTGGTCGCTCCTCTGCGTCTAAATTAAGGGAAAAACAAGATCAACTCTTACATTTAACATGGAGTCTGTTTGGAAATCCGAATATTGGTCTGTTGTTCTAATATGCTTTTGACTACTTTTTCGTTGGGAAAGACTTTCAAAGCTTAACATCCTCCTTGTGATTTTCCTTCAATTCCATGTGCGACTTTCGACAAGTAAAGTAATTTGAGAAGATTTCTTTTGAAGTTTTTAGATGTAGTCATGATATTTGGATGATATCTGGGAAAAAATAAGTCACCAAATTTCAGTATTTGTGAGAGAGGGGAGTGAGAAACTGTGCCCGGAATTGAACTTAGGGTTTAAATTACTGCGTAGCTTAGTATCAAGAAGATGCAATTTGCGGCGGCCATTTTCTATAATGCATTTCTTTTGTCCTCCGACTAGTTTCCCAGTCTTCCTCAAAATGTACCCCCTCGCTTCGAAGTTCTAGTTTTATTTCAACGTACCTGTCTCTATGCTTAAGAACACGACACACGTGATTATTAAAATCCAGATACCACAATGCAACCATCCGAAGCAGCGCATAACTTCAAGTCAAAATAGAGAGTGTGCCGAAAGCCTTCAAACCTCGGGCCATGTCTGGGATATCCTAGAAAGGAAAACTTCTCAATGAATTATAGAATTTACATATCTAATGGAGCGCTTTCTCTTAATTCACTCGTGTTACAATGAGGGAAATATGGTGAGAACACGACAAAAATTGCTAAAATGCGACAACCTAACTGCGTGACGGGATGGAAAAAAAATTGAAGAATTATCAACTGAAAGTGTGATAAGCCGTACGACTGAGTTGGAGTCAAGTCAAATAAATTGATGGGAGGCCTACTTGACCTTTTTTCCTCCGGAAATTGTGGGTAAACGTGGTCTCTCATCATGTTCTCTTCTTTGATGCTTCGGAGAGACACGTCACTATCAACTTTCGCAAATGAAGAGGATAATTTTGTAATGGTGAATTGTCCGGAGAAGAGTTCATCAAAGCTAAAAGCCGGAGGTTATCTTATCAGATGTAAAAACGTGTGATAGTTCAGCATTTTAATGATTCGCGAGGGGTGGAATTCACTTGTAGATCGATAACCACCTGTTCAGTAAGCCTTTCGTTGCTTTTCGTTCCAAGTCATTTTTTGCAAAATAAAATTATTTGATTATCAACCACAAGTTGAGCAGCGAAATTTTGAAAAGCTGACGTTTCGTGCATTAATTATCCCCTCTTCGGAGCAATTAGATGTCACGATATGCAGTGCCTTTTCTGATCATTTAAACGACACAGTGAATAAACAGAAAGCTTTTCAATTGATCTATTGTCTTGATTAAATTCCGCCACACTACCAGGTCCTCTCTCCCTGACTTCAACTTCTACAACTTTAGTTTAGATCCCCTCAATTTCTACATTAAATGTTGCTTGTTCGCGATCCGACTGACACGAGAAGTTTCTCACTTCCCAGCTTTTTGTGTCACCAGCGTGAAAAGAAATCAGCGAAAAGAACGCTTGTCCGTTTCTTTTCACTCGCGCGGCGGACTAAGTCAGGTTATAGCGGCTGCGGGTAAATCTCTTCGGCGCAACGAACAAGCATGCTCGAATATTTTCCATCTGCATTTGCATAAGATGACAGAAGCATCGAGACTATCGAAAGCTTTCGATGACTACAGCGTTACAAGCAGAATAAAACCTGCTATTTTACTCTTAATCGACACTAAATTCATGTAGTTTTGCGTATAAGTGACGGTATATCTCTAGCTGCTTTGTTCCTATTGTCTTCCTTCGAAAGCGTTCGTGATTGACGCTTATCTCTCCATCTGAACCTAGCACCATAAGCACCTAGCGCTTAAATACGTTCTTGTACCCACAAGACTGAAATAAGAATTTATCACTAATAAGCTTTAAAGTATTGCATCAACGTTTCTTTTTATCAAGTGTTACCTGACCTAGCGCAGGAACCTAGTCGCTATAAACACTGATGGCATGTGATGCGGACATGATAGAGCAAAACAACGCGATCACAACAAAGTGTTACTCGATCGATTGGAACCTGACCTGGATCCCCAATTGCACCAGCTCCAAGAGGATATCAGAACTTACCTAGCAATCTATCAGCAGATAAGAACTTCGTTTGGTTGTTTCAGCTAAAACATTTAGCCAAAATTGATGCGTGTAGTCTTCAAGTGAACACAGGAAGCGCTATAGATGTAATGTTAATTTTAGCTCCATTCGATCTCCAGGTAGAAACACGATACTGATATAATGAAGTTGAGTACTCACTCAGTTAATGGTTAATAGAGTTTCGCAATATTTTCCAAAAGTTTTGAACTTATCGGCCTCTTTCTTTGACCCCGCAGTCAGAGTGACTTGCTCGCGGTTTCCAAATCTTGCCTCAACACTATTTGCTCTATAATCACTTCAATGTTCCATATGAAGAGGCAGGCGACCGGCTCAGAACCTTTTTTTCTCTTTTTTTAATAAACAATCCAACTTGATTACTGGGAGTAAAAAGATTCCGTCTTGTTCATATTGGCAATCACCGAGCTGAGATTTTATATACCAGGGCCAGTATGAACAGATGACAAAATTCCGCCCATTAGCGACTGAGCCGCCGACCTGTGAGCAGATTAGTCATCAATATTCCTAGAAAAATCAGGAAAATCGTAAGTGACTCTGCTTAGGATAGACGTGTCAGATAAGTCAACATTACTTAGGGTTGCTAGCCGCTCGTATCCAGAGGGTACAGATATAGCAAATATTGATCCTTGATTTGCTCAACTTTCACCAACCAGAACAAAGAAAAAGAAAACTCACACAGGTAACCCATCCTGAGCGCGGGAAACTGCGATAGCCGAGTGTAATTGGGTTTAGTTTTACATCCGTTGTTGAGCCTTGAAGCAAATTCTCTTTAGCAAAATCAATGCACTGTAGATCGAGTTCGACACTCAATTGTCAAAGAAACTCGCCCTACCCTCCTTTTAACTGGATTCTTCTTAGACCACAACTTTTCTCAGGACAGTACCGTAATGTGAAAATGAAAAATGTTCCCCTCGTTTACAAAACTGTCATTGTAACAGTCACCATGATTAATACTAAAACTCTTACACAACTGAAATGTGCGAGGGTGGCTGTCTACGAGTTCTATCAAATTTCCAGTCCTAGTCCGACGATCTTGGCAAATATTGTTTCTTTAAGGCATGTCTATTGTTAACGTTTGGCTAAGGGTTTTGCTTTGCATCATTTTATTTCTCTACATCATGTGACGCACTGTGACGTAACTGTGACGCACTGCGTTTAGATTTAAATTTTGGCAGATCAGCGAAAAATCAAAGTTATTTAGCTTGCGACCTGCAAATTTTTGTTCAAACGCGGCTTTCAGGAGAAAAAATTCATTGGATATCTTTTTCGATGAAACAGTGATCGCCATATATGCAGTGAATCCACTCAGGTAACTCTGACGTTACTTTTGAAGCCCTTACGGCGATAGCGGTTACTAAGTGATATCGTATAATGCCACGATCAAAGCGGAAAGTTGTAGCTTCTCTGCTTGCCAAGCTTTGATAGAAATTGGCCAATTTCCGGCGATGAATTGGATGGTGTTAATCGGTGTTAATTGTCTTTCAATAGATCGCGCGCGCGGTTTGGCTAAGATCACCACAGAATCGTTACCAGTAAGCTTGATTGTAACAACCAATAATTTTGTCTCGTACATGTCATTTCAGGCTCTGAGCGTCATGACGATTGCTATGCAACCAACTTTGTTCCTGCAGATCTTTAGTGGTTATTTGGTGAGTAAAACAGCTGTGTTTTTGTTTATAGCTAGGTAAACAGTATGATAGCAAACAGTACTATTTGTAAAGCAATCTAACACTGTTCCCAAATTAAAGGGTTGAAAGAATTAAGCTATACTGCCATTACCACTGGAAACGCAAACTCATTTACTAAATTTAGTCTCTCTCTCTTAAGTCACACACTGGTGTCCACACATTAGTGTCTTTGAAGCCGTACTTTCTCGATTATTCGCGTAGTAACCGAGTTTGACCACCATTTTACACACTGAAGCCCTCAATCAAGACACTTCATTTATTACATTTAATGAATGAGTGAGACTTTGAATTTTTCTCGGAAATATTGCAGAGAATTAAAAAGTTACGTATGATCCTACTCGCGGGTTGCAAAAGCGATGACAGTTTGTAGATTGTTCTGTCTACTCGTTGTGATATTATGCGTAATGTTACAAAAACATGCATTGCTAATCGAAACTTATGTCGCAAGTTTTTAAGGGAATTTTGAAGAATTTAAGTGCGTGGGTGTATAGGACACTATCATAATATTTTGGCCATGAATAATTATATATTTTTTTCGTGAGAAAAAACTTGCATTGCGTGACTTCACTTTCCCTAGAATAATTTTCTTAGTGCTGTACTAAATATGGCCCTTTACTCCCCCAAAACGTCGGATTCAGATTTGATCCAATGAATTTGCCCAGCGTTTGATTAGTGCGGATCGTGGTCTTTTTATTCAAGGCTCAAAGTTTATCAATGTCGTTTTTATTTAAACTAGTAATCCCAGAAGGTGACAGGCAATAATTTGTTATTATAGGTATTATCAGAATATTTTTATTATCTGCTTTCTTTTGTTCATATGCATCTAAAATTATGGGGTGGCCAGTACGAAAATTAGTACTCTGGTATTGAAATTACCTTTCCATAGTGAATTTATTATAAGAAACTGTGGTGCTGCTGTCGGAGACTTTGATTCGTGCGTGACACATGTCAGATGATGAGTGCGAACATTATGGACATTGAATGGTTTACATAATCAACGCAACCTTGAATGACCTTTTTAAATCAGTACTCGGCAACAACTAATCACCATGTAGAAAATATCGTATAAGAGAGTGATTTCTTACAAATTTTGCAGAGTAGCTTTTTACACACCCGATGTAAATAAGCGAATACGAGAGCGGAATAAAACAGTTTAATTGAGTCTCGTTTGTTAGAGTTCTATCCCTAGTAAACAGGACAAAGTTTACAAAACTGCATCGGTGGGAGAGTATAAGAGGGTAATTAAGTATTATCAACTGAGTTGGTAACATGAATTGGCCACAATCTTTTAACTCTCAGTAGTGATTAACATGTTACTTCCCCTATAATATCCATTTGTTATGCAGCAAACAGGTAATGAGAATACTCAAACTTATCAGATAGAAGTTGTTATCTTGATCTATTACTAAATTCTGGTAACTTACATACAAGGTAATGTGCAGCAGCTAGAGGGGAGAACTGACAATCAGATCTTGGGAGATAAAGAGAATGATACATGGATGCACACAGATATGGAATTTCTTTTCAAGTGTTTAACTCAATAGCTCATGAGTGAGTGCAGTGAACAAGTGAGATGTCGAGTTGAACACAAGAAGAGAAATTCCATATCTATAAGCAAGCATGTATTATTTTGTTTATCATATAAACAAAATAGCCCTTTACTGAGAAGAAAAGCCAACTTCATTTATGAATGAAAATAAATGAATCGATAATCCCTGAATAACAATCATAGAGTGGGTTGGCACTAACTCCTAAGATGGAAAAATGCATTGAATCATGATTACAAAAACAACAATAGTCATAATTTTCAATGTACAAAATTCTCATTTATTGACTTTGTCCTTACTGACAGAAGAAGTCTCTCAGGTAAATGACCCAAATTGGCTAGTGGCAAATCTTCCAGTTGTCAAATTTCATTCTCAGCCAAGAGAATACTAACACCAAAGCCACTGAATACATAACTTTCGGTTTTTTATGTTAGTATATTGGTTTTCTTTCCCTTCTAGGAAAGCTTGAACCTCACTGTCTGTTAGCGATATGGATTGTTTAGTGTTTTAGCTGCCATATTTCGAGAAAGCTCTGACAAACAATTTGTATTGAGAATCGTGAAGGCTTTGCCATTTATTCATCAACCTGACCAAGCAGCACTAAAAGCTAGTGACATGTCAGCAGCTGATTGGCTTAATATCAACACACGTGAAAAAACACGATATTTTTTCACGTGTGCTGTTACAGCCTATCTCAGGGCCTGAAATCCTTGTACAACAACACAGTTTATCTGATAAAAAGGGTTAAGTCTAATTTAGTACGTGTTTATCTCCAGGGAATCAACTTTATTAATTTGAGTTCAAATGTCCTCAATGCATTGCAAATTATCTTTCTTCTTTGGATTGTTAAGATGAATATTTTGCACTGAACATATTACACATTTAAGTCACTTGCCGGTCAACTTGTATTAAGGGGTCACCCTGCCATTCCCTATAGGTGTGTGACGGCTTCATACAGGTTCGACTATATGCTAATTATGATGTCTTAGAAATCAATGAGTTTTATAACTATGTTTTCTGCAGGTCATCTCCACACGTGGTTTGTGTGGCCCTGATGAATATCCTATCACTGGTCGTCCAGGGAGAAAATGTCTCCCTTGTGATAAATGCCACGAGGGTCAAGGGCTGGTTCCAAAATGTGGAACTCCCATTAAAGACAAAGTTGACAAAATTGAGTGTAAACCCTGTGAATCTGGGAAATTCAGTGACACGTATGACAGTTCTTCTTGCCATGTTTGTCACCAGTGTGTTGAAAATGAAAAAGTGACTGTGCCATGTACCAAAATATCAGACACTGTCTGCAATGGAACTTGTAAGAAAGGATTTTATTTCAGCAAAAAGGATGGCACTCACAGCTGTCAGAAATGTTCCCACTGTTGCTTTGATGACCAAGATGAGGAGGTAGCTGAGTGCAAAGAACAAGGCCTAACTGAATTCAAACTGTATTGTGCCCCTCGACCCGACAAGGATTGTACTCCACCACCACATGAACCAACAGGAGGCAAACATGGATCAGATACTTCAAATAATAAAAAGCTATCGCAGACAACTATAATTGTTTTAATTGTGGTTGGTACAGCAATTGTTTTAGCATTGATATCTACAGTGACTGTATATTGCTACAAAAGAAGAAAGATAGCAACTGGTGATCATCCAAATAATTGTAAGTTGAGCATAATTATATGATGACTGTATCTCTACAATTTTGAAATCAAGTTGCTTTCCTTCTTTCTACTGGTCTAGTAATATGAGTAGGATGGAGAAAACAAGTAAAGTTTGTTCATTAAATCAAAAGGTAAATGTGATTTACAAACTATCTGTGACTGATCTTACTACCAACATCCTGCATGGGTTATTCAGTCAATTACTCAACTGAAACTGCAGATTGTCAGTGTTATAAAATAGCTTTTATTTATGTTATGTGTTTTACTATAACTATGAAGAATAGCTTTTGGGAAAAGCATATTGTCTTAATGGTATTTTGTACTGTAAAACCCCGCAGATAAGCCACACCCTGAATTTAGCAGCTCAAATTTTGGAAAAAAAGGTTTTTAGAAGAAATCAAAAGAAATCCAAAGTCAAGTCTTGAGAAGTCTTCTTCATCCACTGTTCATCAAATGTAAACTCACTATCACCATTGCAACATAAAATACTTCAAAGTCTTACCCACAATTTTAGCACTTTGATATAATGAACATCAGTTCTACCAACTTTGTCATATGATGGATCTTTTTCTGGTATTTGTTGACAGGAATTTCTTCATTCAACACAGTTTTTCCATAGATTTTTGCATTACAACAAGAAGCAAAACATTCAAAGCTTAGTAACCAGGCATTAGATCGGACGTGAAAATGGAAAACCAACAGACATTGGCGTTGACATTCACGACACCTTTCTCAAATGTTCCCGCAGATAAGCTCCACCCCTAATTTCTAATAATGATTTTTGGAAAAAAGGTGTGGCTTATCTGCAGGTTTTTACAGTAATTCAGAAGTGTAGGGGAAGCAATGTTTTCTGGGTTGTTCTACATATATGATGAAAGGTCTGGATAGCAGCAGATATGTCATGAATTTAAGAAAATATAGGACATTTTTTAGAAACATGTTTTGACAGTTCTTCTGTGATCTTCAGTTCTGATTTATACAAAGTACAAGTACAAAGTCGAATTTAAAGTGTGTAACAAAATGCTCATTGGGCAAAACAAACAATAACAACTTTGTAAATTTAACTTTGTACCTTGTATAAATCAGAACTGAAGATGACAGAAGAACTGTTAAAACATGTTTTTAAAAAATTTCTTATATTTTCTTAAATTTGTGACATATATGATAAATGTTATCATAATGATTGCTTTTAGCTGTCCAAAATTATGCAAGGGATGGTGCAGTTTTAGACCCACAACATGTAGTACCAGCTGTACGTTTCAGTAACATACATGGAGAAACTGTTAATGCTAGCCCCAGTGGTACATGTGTTAATGGAGTTGAAGGAATTTCAGGTAACTATGTGCCTTGTGGTTTGCTTTGCAATTAAGAGCTCAGATAAATGTAGTGGGAAGTGATATTGATTGTGGCAATCAATCTGAACACCTTGTGCATCATGCCCCTCTCCCCCATTAATCAATCATGGATTACTTTCAACACTCAGTTGAAAATTGTTCTATGTTCTATATATCATGGAAATGTTTTAGTTAATGTATGTTGTTTTAATACTGTAGCTTCCTTTGTGCAAGGGTGTTTTGACTAACCTTGATTAAAATTGAAATACTTTTTGTACAGACATTAACATTATACTAAATATGCACACATTAGACAGTAGATAATCTGTACTAACTAAATTATTCAACTTAATAGCATTCCAGAATGTAGTCACTCTGGGTACTTCCAGTCAGGATCAAGAAACTAGAAGTGCTCCTTCTGTGCCTGAGCCTGGTGTCTCACTCACTCAGGGTACTTCCAGTCAGGATCAAGAAATTAGAAGTGCTCTTTCTGTGCCTGAGCCTGGTGTCTCAGAAGTTGTGACTACAATACCCAATAATGTGCAACATGAAAGGAGTGCTGAGTCAGTTTTTGGTGCTGAAGTTAGACGTCCTAAAAGTGATGGTGGTCGAAAGCAATCTCTTATTCGTTCACTCAGTAGGGATTCTCAGAAAAGTGGTAATTATTCAATGTATTGTGGTGATGTCAAAGGAGAAAATGATAATTTCAGTGCATTTGACATAACAGTGGCTTACATATATGCTACATGTGCATGATGCATATTTAAAAAATAATTCAAACAGTACGCGCACTCTGATTGGCCATAAAACCATTTTACATATGTAAACATGGTATTCGTTCCTCTTTCATTAGTTATTTTATAAAAGAAATGTAAAATGGTTTCTGTGTTTACATAGCCTGATGTAAACACTTGGGAGGTTGGGAGAACACTCAATAAGCTGGAAACCACTCCGCTTTGCGTCGTGGTTTCCTACGCTTATCTCATGTTCTCCCAACCTCCCGCGTGTTTACATCAGGCTATGTAAACACGGAAACCATTTTACATTTCTTCAATGTCAACTTTCCTGAATTGTCCAGGAGTCTCTCAAATTATCCAGGAGCCTCCCAGATACAGAGCCAATCTCCCGCTCTCCCGCACAGGTGACCAAAACTCTCAGATAAAAGAAAGTTTGGATCAGTTGCCCTCAAAAACTAAGATTTAAGCTCCATATGTCCCAAAATTCCAAAATTACTTGGCTTCTTACACTTATATTATGGTTTCTGGCTTCATTTTCTTGCCTGATGCATGTTGTTCATTGCAAACAAAATGGAGAGAGTTTCTTCTTCTCTGTTACTCCTATATATGGGAGAGTCTGATTGGATGAGTATTAAACCAATTGAAGTCCCTGATGTTTTTCCCAAAAAATTGCTTGGTGGTGGGGGAGGGGGGGGGGGTAAGGGGTCCAAATAAAAAAAGACATTTTCTGGGTGGGGGGGGGGGGCATTGCTGGTCTGAAAAAACTCCTTTTTGAGATTTGAGATCTCCAGAGGTTGGCATTTCTGATGATGTGGTTTGGTATAATCAGAAAGGATATTGATCAAAATAATGCCTTAGTGAACCAATCAGAATTGATCATTATGAAATATAAATGCAAGCTCATATAGAAACATTTATTTATCCCAGCCTGTAAACATGATTAATAATTATGTGCTGTGTAAGTGAGCCCTTTTCTACCAGGATTGTTAGGTAGTTTCCCCTTATAAGTGGCAATACATTTCATTGTTTTCTAGTGTTCTTGAGAATTTGCAGTCATATTAAGACAATATATCTTTCAATAATGGTAATTTTTTTTGTTCTCAATTTTCCTACATTCCTGCTGGATTACATATTAAAATTGTACTTAGTTGCCAAGCCTTTGATTTGAAGTGAGGCTGAAGGTGACCTAGTTTTGATAGAGACCAGTATCTAGTTAGCATAATAACAAGGCAATCTACATTTAAAAAGCAGCAAGGTTTGTATCATACCAAGGTCACCCCTGTTAAAAAGCTTGGCAACTAAACATGCAACTGTAAAATGGATTATTAAGTATGTATCACTTGATCACTTCTAGGAATGAAATTATGACAGGTTAAGATGAACAATAATGAAAACTAATTTTTTCTGAAACATCTCAGTAGGCTGGAATCTTAAATGGTCAAATCTAATTGGCTCATTGCTCACTTGTAGCCATTCCTGCTTTTTCTAGTGTACCATTCACAGCAAAGGGGAAAAAAGCAAACCAGCAGAAAACTGAATAAGTTAATTATTGGTCAAGGCTGGTTCATATGGGGAAAAACCTTGGTCTTGAGTATGGCTGAAAACCCTAAGCAAATTTTTTCCCCATAAGAACCTTCCACTGGGTAAATAACTTTTATTTATTCCCTAAATTTTCATCTTGAACTGCCCATAGAAGTAAAAAATTCCGATTTAAGCATGATGTACTACAAATCTTCATTTCCTAGGAGATGATGCAAATAGAGGTGGCAACAGAAGTAGAAAGTCATCATTATCAAGCCTCTCAGAAACTTTAAGACAAGCAATAAAACCACTAAATCCAAAAGGGACGGATACATGTAACTTGGTGGATAACATAGAAGAGGTGTGGTTACAAATTGCAAATTCTATATCACATACTAATTGTGGAATCATATTATTCATTATCTATGAACTATTTGTACACTGTACAGTCATGTGAGATATAGAATGACAAACTGACACTATGTGGTAGATGTAAACTTTAGGCTGCTCTTGGTTGACCTAAACAATTACAGCTATTGAAAGATTAATAATCAAATGAAAGTATGCTAAACTTACTTTTTTAATATCTCTTTTAGCATGTGGATGATTTAGAACAAGGTAAGATGTTGTTTGACAAGACAATTAGAATATCTAGAACTCTCTGATTATCTATGATATGCTTTGTGGGATTTTAAGAGGCTGTGATGTAATGCAACATCAATCACTTGCAATTTCGTTTTTTTTAATTTGTACAACTTAAGTTACTTTGCCATCCACTTCCTTCACAAAGGATCCTGAATCAAAAGTTGCTTGAACCCTTATTCCAAGATTGAATCTCTGACTTTTGGATTTTATTTTCTGTCCCACAAGTATTTATTGATTTTTTAATATTCATGAATATTTGCTGGTCATTAAAGTGTGAATTCCATTTTTGCATTTAGATAAGTTATGCACAGTTTGAATTTATTCTGGTTTTGGACCAATAACAATCACACAGCAACCAGAATCTCCAAAAGGGTGAAAGTAGGCTCAAACATAGAGTTTGAATATGAATGCAAGGCCAACAGCTTCTCAGCCAACTGACGAGTATAATTAAAACCATTTTAATAGTAAGAATCACAGAAATAATCTTGGTATATTTTTCTTATAAATATACTTATCTTTGATAGAATACAAATCTCTAACAGATGTACAACAAGACTTTCAAACTTATGAGAGAGTTGGGCACCTATTGAGTCAAAAGAAGCATGGCCTAGGTGGATGGAGGGAGGTGGCACATAAGTATAAGATGGATCAAGTTCACATTGATGCCTTGAGGAATGACCCAGAAGCAGGGAGTAAAACATTAGGTTATCTTGTATCGGCAGTGCCAGAATTGACGGTGTATGACTTTTGTGAGACACTTAAAGAGTACCACATTAGGCGTCTTGATATAGTAAAAGAATTAGAGAAACATGTCTCAGCTCTGGGAACAGCCACTGGGTAATTTGATGTAACAATTAATTTGTATGGATATTTTTGTTGAAGACAAAGCAGTTTGTGGCTTTGTTTATAGAATTTGAGATTCAGTAGGCAGGTCTTAAGGCAAGACAAAGGGAACAGACCAGTGCTCTTAGAGCAGACTTAAGGAAGTACTCGTTTGTTGATTAATCAAATTAATTCGATAACTGTGTGATAAAATGTCAGACCATCCAATGCTTAGGGGAGCACAGTCCTAAGTATTCAGATCATCCAGGAATATTGACAGTCAGCTTGAGTGTCAGTTTTATAAAAAATTGTGAAATCTTTTCAAGCTGAAAACTACACGACAACGCAAACATCCGTGTCACAAAATTTTTTAGTTCAAGTGATACTAAGAATAATTGTTGTTATGAGAACATCCAATTTAACACATAATCTAAAATGTCTATCTCTGCTATGAATGTGAAATTATGTGGTACCTGCAAAGTTTAAGTATCATGATGATATTGTTCCAGTTTAATCTAACCAACAGAAAGAATTCTACTCTCCTATAAACTCAACTACTTTGTTGAACAATGTGTAATATTCTAAATTAGGGGTAACTCCAATAGAAAATACAGTAATTATCCTCAATAAACTTACTTAGGCTGGCTATAGTCTACATGTACCTCTTAGCTTACCACTGACACAAACTCACAGTTTCTCCAAAGTTCCTTGAAATGAACAAATTCCACAGTAGTTCTCTCTATAAAAAAATCTTCACTTAGAAGATAACTTTTATGTTTGTTGTAAAATATATTTTGAGGGGTACCCAAGATTGAGTTACATAGTCAGGAATTACCAGTAAGTAGGTATGGTGAAATATGTCATACTGTTAAAATGTCTGGACTGAAAGTTTAAGTTCTTTATTTGTATCTATGTTTGCTTTATATTTCTTTATTTGAATTATGAAGGTAGTCTGAACATTAAATATTTTCTTTTTTTTTCTTTGAAAGTGGACACTACAATTTAATAAATAGCTGTGAGGAAAACTTGTAAAGAGTAATTCCTTCTTTCGAAATTTTTTTATACAGTATTTTTGTATATGGAAATGATGACTTCATGTACTTAAGAGACTTTTGAAGCTCACAAAAATGTATAGTACTTGCATATAAGTTCAATTATTTTTAGAATAGAAATAGTTTTTGGTATCTACTTTATTCAATCATTTGACAGTGTAAATTGCATACGTTCCAAATATGCAGACAATGTATGTCATATTTGATGTGTTATGCACGGATTTGTCCATACAGAAGTTGAGAGAGATGTTCTATTGTGGGTTTTTCTAGAAATCATTTAGAACTTGTTGAAATATTTTTATAGTCAAAAGCTGTAGCTGGTTTACAGTACTAGACATTTTTAGAATTTTGAACTTTTTTATATATATATTCTGTGGGTTGTTTGTTATAAAGCTCTAAACTATTAGCACGAGCTATTACAGTGTAATTTTTGTTGACAGTAGAGTAAATACTGAAAAATTTCTCAACGAATAAAATGACTGCTACCAAAAAAAAAGCTGAAGTATAGATAATTGTGTACAGATAGAGGGGCAGGAGTTGACGTCTCCTTTGTTAACTTTTCTAGCTTACCCAGCCTTTCATAGCCTAGTTTACCTTAGAGTGGTATCTGGAGGTTTCATCCTTGAGCAATGACGCCCCCTTTCCGACCTGTAAGAAATGCCCTCTTGTTAAGGTGGGTCAACAGCATCTTTCGGCCGTGCCAGGAGTGATCGTAACATAGTCTCCGACCTGAAAAGAGTTGTTTGCGTTGTTGCCACTAGAGATAGTAATGTTCACTGTGGGCTTGTACCAGTGGTGACTGAAGTTTAAGTCAGTAGCGATTATATACACTGTAATAGGTGTTATCAAAAGAATTATTTCCTCTTGGTATCGTTAACTTATTAAAACCAATATCTCGTAAGAGTAGGTGATCATGTTTTTTCACATCTTTTTAAATTTGTGATAAAGATTTCCCTAACTTCTAACACCTAAATGATTGTCGATCAACCTTTAAACACATGTAAATTCTCCTTGCATCGGGTAATCCATTATAATCTATTAAAAACGGCTAAGCCCGAATCCACTCCGGTTTGAGCCCGCGAGCACGTTCTCATTGGTGCTGCAACAGGAGAGACGAAGCCCGCGCGTTTCGCGCCAGCGCGCGATCTACGAAGGTTCTGGCTGGTGCAAGCTGGTGCCTAGATCCCTCGCGGACCTCTCGCGCTCACTTCTCCGCTCCTGTCGCGGTGCTCATAAGAGCTTGTTGGCAAGTTACTTCTACGAGAGTTTGTTTCTTTGGAAGACTTAGTAAGTGGTTTCAATTGAGCCATTCTGTTAAATAACTTATCGAGCTCATATGGGTTCGAAATCCTACTGAAGTAAAGTAGTTTAAATTTCCTCGGATTACTTGATGGTTTATGAACAATACAATAACCGTTTCTAATGTTAACATTGGGCATTCCTTTGTGTGACGAAACCTGTCTGTGAAAATATGTCTACTATAAGTCCTTACATTCTAGACGGTAGAATTTAATATTCTATATGATCTTGTGGAGACGTCAATCCGCGAAGTAAGAAATGTTTCTGACTTACCCAAGTGATAACAAATCATTTGTGGGATCGCTGCAATCCCTTACTGTCAAACGTAGGAGTCGTTTCGCCCTAGACTGGTCTCGGTTTCGCTAACGACCAGTTTGCAACGTCTCAAGTCCCTCCGCTAACGGCCGAATGGGTCATTGTTAAAGTCACTCATAAAAATTTCCATCTCGATTCGCCTCGATTGATGATTTGAATAAGCAATTAAAGCACTAGAAAGACGCTTAACCTACGTGAAGTATAATTATTCCGTCGCTTGTAAGGACGTGAACAAGCTAGCTGCTGATCCTTGATTTCTAGGAAAAATTTTTAGTCACGCACCAGCTATTTTTTGATCGGGAGAGCTTGCTCGACCTCGGTTTACCTCCAAATTACCTCAAAGTTTGTGGCTGAGCGGGTTGTTGATTTTTTATTGTTGTTTGATTGACGAAGTTTATAGCTAATAAGAATATCCTTGAGACTTTTCCTTCCATATATTTGAATAATCTGACTGAAATCGCAGACCAGAACAGAGCTTTCTGTTGATCGTAGTTTAATTACTCGAAGGATTCTTACTTAACGAACCTTTGCCTACCATTACGTCACATAACGGAAAGTTGTAAAAATACACACCCGACTTCTCTGCGAATTCACCGTCGCCACGTCCATTTTCGGCCACTTTAACCCCTTACACCCTAACGTCATTATGCATACTCTCCATACTGTTCTTTACACATTTCCTAATATGCCTATAAGGAGAATTTTTTTACTGATCAAAAGTTTCTTTTGTTGGTAATCATTTCCTTCATTCTCATGACCTTAATGTGTGATTCAGGGGTGATATTGTAGGGAGAAATTAGACGCCAGTCACTTTGGAGTTTAAAGGGTTAATGATTACGGTGTACCAGTAAACGACTTGAATTTTGACTTTATTTCGGTCATTAACATGATAAACACGCTTTGTACATGGCACTAACAGAGAGGGAACTCGAGGTCCAGAATTTTTTTCCCCGTGACGAAAGTGAGGCAAGAGATACTGCGAGAGATGTCCGCATGGACAGGTTGGCAAGATGTTGCCGTAGATCTAGAAACCTCGAAAAAGCCAATATCACTTGCATTTTGACACGTGATCGAAGTAGCCTAAACGGGAAGTTCACGGTGCGGTTTGTTCGGGAAGAGCTCAGCTTTGGTGAGTACGTACTCCTTTAATTTTTTTGGTTGTAATCCACACTGTTATTTCGCGATTTCTACTTGTAATATCGCTATAGCTTTAACTTTAACTATATCTTGGGTGTGCTTGTTTGTGTAAACAAATTACTAAATTACTTCATCACGAACGCAAACAAACCGCTAAATACAGACTGTTGGTTCTTTGCGATCGACTTTGACAGCCGAAAGCCCTCGGAATAATGTATTATAATCGTTCTATCGTTGATACAGATTGTGGCTCGTAGGCCTGGTTACCATCAAGAAAAGAAACTAAGTAATCCGATGTCATTGCGAAGAGATGGCTCACATATTTACGTAACAATAACCTAGTTCCGGGTGGAGAGATTGAAAGTGCCAAAAACTATTGGTGAGTGCCTTATTGTATTGTTTGTTTAGATGATTCTAGTTAACAGAGCTCTCCCAATGATTTGATGTCCCAAAAACTGCTTATTGTACGACAATATTCAACAAATTCTCAGCGCGCTTCGTATGATTTGTTCGTAAATCACGCGTCAAACGTGCTCGCTTTAAAACAAATTAAGGATACCAGTCAGCGAGAAATGTTATATGCATTTCAAAGGATATTTGACTAAAATTGATGGCCAGAACCTCTTAATAACTCAGAATTCCATCACAAAAACATTTCAAAACCATCTTTTTGAGTTCTTGAAGAATCTAGTCCTAAGAATGTGACTAGCTGATAAAAAACGTACATGACGGCCGATGCCGAGCATACGATTACGATTACTAACAATTGAAGTAAATTTAGCGAGGATCATACATTAAATACATTGTTAACGTCGGTTAGGCTTAATAAATTCATGGTAGTTGGCTGAAATCCAGCTCACCTAGCCGGAGTCATAATTTTAAGATATGCAAAGGAGATATGGCAACCTTTTGCAGTTGATAAGCATGCGTGATTCAGAAGTTTTTTCGCAAGCGTTGTTATTCACTTGTCTTTGTCTGGTTCTTTTGTGAGCATGAGTACTGATCTGTGACAGAGATAAAAGGTATTCAACAGTCAATTGTTAATGATCATGATTTACGACCTATTAAAGGTCACAGTGTCTGAATAATTTACTATTTAAAATACTATCGTGGGAACCTGGATATCAATGATCTTCAAAACAAGAGAAATTCTCTATTTGCTCTCCTCCAGAACATTTGTAAAGTATTTATTGCATTATAAATATAGGGATCACTTAAATTAATTCACAGTTTTCAAAGATTAAAAATATATTTGAACACTTATGGCTAGTTTGTTTTACAGTACAAAGCACGGTAAATTGTAAATTGGAAGACCGACTTCTGATTTTCTCGTAGCACAAGGCAAATCTAGCTCCTGGTAATTGTGAATAATCACTTTACTATTGTTGGCAAGGGTTGCGTAAAAACTGTAGATGGAGTTGTCAGAAACTATTATATATCGCAGTGCCGGGTTATGACAAACTCCCGACTAAGTCTGAGGCAGTCTAGGTGTGGAATAATCAGGGAATTATTGAATTAAGAGATCACTAGCCCTACACGATATTATCATCGAGTTAAAGATCAAACCCACGGACGCAATGAGCAAATTGCCAGTAATCGGATCCTTGTGTTTGCACAAAGATTTCTTATTGGCCACGGGGCAAACATTGCAAGTTGCCAGCAGGAAATAAATGGTGAAAGGTGTTTCGACCTCCAAAAAACCGATTTTGGAGAGAGATCAACGCTTTTTCGCCGCAGTTTTATCATACATGGATAAAGATAATGTTGATACAAGGGAAGTGTAGGTTTTTGTTGCAATTACCGCGATATATGTTATAAAATATACCGATAAACTTCTCTCCTTGCTTAAGGTCTATTGTGAAATCGTCATCACGTACTAGTCTTGACGAATTACAAAATTAGCCATAAATCGCTAAGAAATAGCTCATTTAAGTCTTTCCAGTTGTTTGTATTACCTGTTTTCATACTTGATAACGTAATAAATAAACAACTTACGACGTCTGAAAATATACCTCCTCAAAGGAGAGAAGTCGTTGTCAGCGTAGATGGAAATTATTTTTACCGAGCCATTGCTCTTTGGAAGGATGAAATAAGCGATGAAAAACATAAGGAAATCCCAAGGTGAAGTGATCCATATCTGATAAGACAGCGGTGAAAAATTGATAATCTCTCTCCAAAACCCTTTTTTGGGGGCGTCGAAACAACCTTTCGCTGTACATTTCTTACTGGCGAATTGCAATGGGTTTGCCCCGTACGAATCCCAGGAATCTTTGCGAGAGCACAAGAATTCGATTACTAGTGCCTAATTCATTCAAATGAGCTGCTAGCCTACGTGTACCCGTACCATGCCCCACAAGGGAAGGATCCCTTCCTTGCGTTTCTCCTTTGGGGTAAGGGCATGGCTTTACGTAGACTAAATAAATGCCCGTATTCTTAGTTCTCCTTTTCGTTTTAAGTGTGTCCATTTGCGTTTGGGGTTCTAGATATTTGGGTGTTATGAGGTTTTTTAAATATCGAAATCAGTCTAGTCTAAAGTCAAGAACAAGCAGGAGAAACATAAAAGCATTGTCAAAAAGTATAGGTAAGAACATGATTTCGAGCACAATTTGGTGTTAATAAGCACGATAATTTTTTCAAAGATGACAAATTGCACGATCCCGTCGGGCAAGTGCTATTTGTAATCTTTGAAAAATTTCCAAGTGCTGATTAGACCAAATTGCCAGAGAAACCATGTTATTACTTGTTAATAATGTACATGAACAAACATCACAGAAAGTCAAGACAGACGAAAGCATGCGCGCACTATTTGTAATATACACTCGTGTTACAACTTTGCACTTGTGTTACATGAGAATGCACTCGTTTCAGCTAATCAGAGGCGGGTAACTCTTTCATGTACATTATTAAACCCAGTATACCAACTTAATAAAATAACTTCTGTGGCTTGGGGGCCTTTCTGCACTTGCGGTCAAAACTAAAATTGTCCTGACAAATTTTTGTTTCGTCTGTTGCATCCGAAATAGAGATTTCAAAGCCGTCAAATTCCGTCATCGCCTGATCTGTTCACAAGACCTGCCAGGATAGTTGCCAAAGTTCCACCTCCAATTTCCAGGATTTACCTTAAGTCGCTTTAAAATTTTAGAATCCCCGAATTTTGCTGCAAAAGACAATTTTTGCCTTTCTAGTAACCTGATTTCAGTTCAATCACTCGCCTGTTGTAGCTTATACGACGAATGGTTGATAAGTTTATCACGGGTTTTATTTATTTAGTCGATTTTGCCAAAATTTTTACCCGGGACAACTTTTGTCGGCGGTGCTTCTGAAGATTTGTCCGCTTCGCCAAAATGTTGTAAAATGTTGGTGATGAAAGAAAATTTGTGTAAATAAACAACTTTGTCGCTAGAGCTGAAAGGCCCTAAGGAAATATGGAGAGGAAGAGTGCATGTAAACATTGTGGGAAATTTTACAACTAACGTGGGTTAAGAAAACAAATTTACCGGTAGCGCCTGTTATAAAAAACCTCATCAATAACTGCAGTATCTGAATTTTAGGAATAAAACCCAGGTATTCACCCCCTGAAGATCTGTGAGCACAAAGGATATGCTCATTCACTGTGGTAAACTATAAACAAAGACCATAAAGAGATGCAGAGCAGCGGAGTACTTCTAGGCGCTGAAGGTAACTGCTACGGTGATCAATTGAAATTCTGGTCAAATGTCTTAGAATCAAGTTTCTACCATTTTAAAAAAGGTTGCACTTTATGGAGAGAAATTAACTCAGGGTTTGGAGACTTTTCTATCTCTATCATTCAAACTGTCCAAATGCTGAAAGATCATTGACTTTACTATTCGTATTACCCGAAAGCTTGATCTTACATGATTAAACCCAAATTCCCATGATGGCTCCTTCAAATAACTTTGTAAGGGAATGTATTTACAGCATTTTTCAGCTTTTCATGAAAGATTTGTTTGATGGTTAGTTTGTGGTCTCGGTTGTTTCGCGGTCCTTTGTTCACCTTTTTGGTCAGTGTTTTGTTTAAGAGTTAACGGTTCGGTTGCTCAAGTTACTTGTTTAATTGATTTGTTGATTGGCAGGACACTTGGTCATTTGGCTATATATATATATATATATATATATATAAGTTAAAGAATTAAAGAGGACGCATCAATTCTCCGTGACTCTGAGTTTCGTTCATTTACATATATACATACATACATATATATATATATAAATATTTCCTTTTCTCATCAAAACGGAAATGGACGAGGAATATGTATATTTCTCTTTGAAGGAACGATACCTTTTTTGTTATTGTGCAAAGGAGAAACAAAACAGCTATCGTACTTCCCTTTTGAAAAACTTCCCTCTAATTTATTCTGTCAGCACTTTTTTAATGGAAAAAGAAAAGGTGTATATGTCTCATATAATTTCAAATTGCAACGCTGTTGAGAAAGAATGTGTAAATAAATGTAAGTTTATGTTTCATTTTGTTGAATTTTTCTCCAATCAAGATTCTGCAGAGAGGAATGATCTTCTCAGGAGAGGATTCGAGGTTTCTGTGGGATCCGCTCAAATGCTTCGATCGGAAATGGGACAACTTATTGGTAAGGGCTGGCTGATGCACAGTTAAGGCATCGATGGCCTAGTTACGTTTAAACAATAAAACATGAGCGGGCTTTCTTTCAATTTCTGTTCACCGAAACTTCTTTACCCAAAATTATAGAGTCTTTTGGCAAAGAGCTAGAAACTTTCAAACAACGCAAAAAGAAGCTCTCAGAGGAGATGGTTGAGCTGACAGGTAAGGGAACATCAATCAATCAATCAATCAATCAATCAATCACTTTATTTAACGTGGTCAGAATGCTTAGCTAAAAGCTAGTTTACAGGTACGCCACGAAATAAAAAGAGAAAAGGAAATTATAAAGCCTTGTGAAGATATATAAATTTAAATAAATTAAGATTAAGAACTAGCTAATATTAAAATATAAGAATTTAACAATGTAGTCACCAAGTAAAATGTATAAAATGTAATCATTAAAAACAGTAAATATGATCAAGGATAGATCCTCACCGCACTAGAGTCCCGTGAGATCTAATGTTTTTAAGTAATTTTTAAAAGTAGTAAATGTTTGTATCTTTCGAAACTCGTCCGGTAAAGCGTTCCATAATTTCGATGCAGCATATCTCCATGATCTTAACCCGAAGGTTGTTGATTTTACTTTTGGGAGGTCCAGTATTGTGGTGCCCCTAAGGTTATAAGTGGAGCACCTTACTGTTATAAGATGCAGTACGCAAGACTGACTTTTATCCTAACTCCTATTCAAGCCCAAACACATGGATGCGCTTTTTTTGTTTTTGTTTTTTGTTTTCTTTTTTTTTTCAAACAAGCATCGACGGCGAGGGAAAACGAGTTAATGACGAACGAGCTGCGCACCTCCATGGAAGCCCGTAAACAGCTGATAACGAATAGAATTAGAGGTATGAAGACATCAAAACGCTCAGCTTTTTTGTGGTTGTTTCCTTTGATTTGCAACATTCATTATAATTTTCTGCCCTCAGAAACTCGCGGTGGTGATACTTTACTAGGATTTCGATGAATTGTAATAACTCTCATTCAAGCCTAGTTCTTTAAAGCTAATTAATCGTTTTGTTTTAACTCAAGCATCGACAAAGAGCGAAAAAGAGTCACTGAACACCTCCATAGAAGCCTTAAAACAGCTCACAGAGATGATAAATGAACTTAGAGGTAAGAAAGCAGTGAAACGCTCTGCTTTTTTGAACTTTTTCTTTGATTTCAGATAACTATTGGAAAACATTCTGTCCAAAAGAACCCTGATAATTGTACTTATACAATTGAGTATTTGATATTTCTTGACAACAAATCAATAGTTTCCTTTTGAACTTAAGTGTCCACAGAGACGGAGAAAGAGTTGCTGACGAAAGAGCTGAAATCATCCAGAGAAGCCGTAAAACAGCTTTCACAAGAATTAAATGAAGTGAGAGGTAGGACCAAGACATAGAAACTTGCACCTCCTTTTTTAAGCGTGTCTTTTGACTGATTTACGATGTTAAACCAACAATTATCTGCTCACAAAAACCGGTAATTGTATACATTTATTGTCATCATTCCCAGTCAAGACACCTTCAATATAGCTAATAAGATGTTGCTCTTTCAACTTAAGCATCAACGGATAGGGAAAAAGAGTCACTGAACACCTTTAAAGAAGCCTTAAAACAGCTTTCACAGATGATGAATGAACTTAGAGGTGAGAAGGAAGTGCGGAAACGCTCAGCTTTTTGTGAGCGTTTCCTTTGATTTCACTCAACTATTGGAAGATATTCTGCCCACAAGAACTCAGTAATCGTATAAAATTGAGTCTTTGATGTATTTGAATAACTCTTAATTTAGCCAAGTTCTTGAAAACAGATCAATCGTTTCCTTTTGAACTTTAGTGTCCGCAGGGACGGAGAAAGAGTTACTGATGAAAGAGCTGAAAGCATCGAGAGATAGGGAAAAAGAGTTATTGAACTCCAAAGAAGCCTTTAAACAGCTGTCAGAGATGATGAACGATCTTAAAGGTGAGAAGGAAGTGAAACGCTCAGCTTTTTGTAAGCGTTTCCTTTGATTTCAGATAACTACTGGAAGATATTCAGCCCTCAAGAACTCGGTAATCGTATACAATTGAGTCTTTGATGTATACGGATGACTCTCATTTTAGCCAATTTCTTGACAACAAATCAATAGTTTTCTTTTGAACTTAAGTTTCCACAAAGGCAGAAAAAGAGTTTCTGACGAAAGAGCTGAAATCATCCAGAGAAGAAGTAAAACAGCTTTCACAGGAAATGAATGAAGTGAGAGGTAGGACCAAGATATAGAAACTTGCACCTCCTTTTTTAAGCGTGTCTTTTGACTGATTTACGATGCTAAACCAACAATTATCTGCTCACAAAAACCGGTAATTGCATACATTTATTGTCATCATTCCCAGTCAAGACACCTTCAATATTGCTCATAAAATGTTGCTCTTTCAACTTAAGCATCAACGGATAGGGAAAAAGAGTCACTGAACACCTCTAAAGAAGCCCTAAAACAGCTTTCAGAGATGATGGATGAACTCAGAGGTAAGAAGGAAGTGAAACGCTTAGCTTTTTTGAGCGTTTCCTTGGATTTCAGATAACTATTGGATGTTCTGCCCACAAGAACTTGAACTCGGTAATCGTATACAATTGAGTCTTTGATGTATTTGAATAACCCTTTTTTAGAAAATTTCTTGACAACGAATCAATCATTTCCTTTTGATTTCCTTTTAGTGTCCGCGGAGAAGGAAAAAGAGTTACTGACGAAAAAGCTGAAATCATCTAGAGAAGCCGTGAAACAGCTTTCACAGGAGAATAATGAACTGAGAGGTAGGACCGAGGCATAGAAACTTGTACCTCCTTTTTAATCGTGTCTTTTGACTAATTTACGACTTAACAGTTGCAGAAGCATTATCAGCAAACACCAAGGGGCTCGTGAAAATGGTTTGATAAATATGGATTTATAGATATTCAAAAACTCACGCTTCCCTCGTATAAACAATACCTAAAACCGTTAAGGATAAAACAGCGGCGAAAAAGCGACTATTTATCTCCAAAATCTTTTCTTTGCACGTCGAAACAACCTTTCCCCACTTGCAATGCTTGCCCCGTGGCCATCCCAGAGATCTTTGCGCAAACGCAAGGATCCGATTTTTGGCAACTTATTCATTGCCGTCGCTTTTAATCATTGACAATGGTTGGCTTGGTAATTAACGAAAGCCAAAAGATTTCTTGTCTCTGTAACACAACCATTATTCAGGAAATCTAGAAATCTACAAAAAAAATGTGATTTTGTCTCTGTTCCTTTCTTTTAGCGGCAGCGCCATCAGATGAATATGATGAAACAGATTCTTCAAGCCCGACGCTTTTTAAAAAATTTAAAGGTAACATTTTTAAATGCAACCTCGTCAAAAAGTGTGTAAAATGTTATGTGAATAATAGGGTGACAATTCTCACGGTGCATTCACGTAATTTTATCAGTCATTTAACTTAAAAACTTCGTACACATGTGAGATTTGCCACATGAAGAAGGCATGTGAAAACATATGAAAAGCATGTGAATAATGTTAGCGATCCTTTTCACTTTCTATTCTCGTAAATGCGTGACAAACCTCAATTGAAAAACCAGCGGTGGAGTTACATTTTCACATAATTTTCAAATATTCATCAAACAAATTTCACATAATAATTTTGCATGGATGTCTCATGTGGAAAGAATGCACAAAGGTCTTATTTCAAAAGAATTATTTTGCCGGTATTGTTGTTTGCTAGTGCTCTGTTAATCATTGCTCTCTTAACCAAATTCAGTTACAAATGTTTTTCGTGCAGCCTATACATTCCTGAGAGAAAGGAAAAAGTCGATTACATTATGATTAGCTTTCTTGGAAGCTAATTAAGCTGTCGCGATTTGAGAGTAAATGGTCAGTTAAGAAAACTATTGCTGTCATAACAAACAACGTAATGTCTAATAAAAAGACGTGATTTTGATGATACTTATTGGTGTAGCTTGAACCAATCCGATCAAATTGAGAAACGACCTAACCTACTTCACAACTTTCGCAGTAGAATAACGAAACGTCATGTTTTAATCTTGGTACTTTTTATTATGAAACGTTTTCCACATTCCTGCAGAAAAATCACGTAGATATTATGGGTATCTGCAAATCTGTTGCAAGTTTGTCTTATATATACGTCGTTCACAGGGCTGGGTGTAATCCGTTTCGCTAGCTCTTGCACTCGTTTTTTTTCACATGCTTGCTTCAAGTAGCTTCTGACCCCTACAAAAAGTTTTGATTTGAATTGAAATTTCACAGACAATGGTAATTTTGACAAGCTTATCTCAGGCTATCTCAGCTATCTCAACCACCGCCTTTCCCCCGCCTGCTCTTTTAGTTGTCTCCATTGAACAAAATCTGAACCTGGTTACACAAAGCTGAGACAGAAAAAGGGAAAATGACAACGATTTTTCCTTTTGTTGTAGGCTTCTTTGTCTCATCAAAGTCAACCACACCGGGAAGGCGTTCACATCAGAAAACTCAATTGAAAGAGCTTGAAGTAACTTCAGAAGGTATTTGTTTTGTCATTTCGGAATCATGCAGAGCTCCTTAAGTTTTATTCTTCTTTCAGTTTCCTTTCAACCCAGGGGTGGATGTATATTTGACTTTGTCTATACATTGTTTCAAGAAGCATTCATTTTGTTAATGATTCAAAGATTCACTAGTAATGCAACGACGTGGTTTGCTGTCTGTGGCTAAATCCTGCTGTAATCGGAGTCATCTTTTGGTGGAACCTGTTAAAACGCTACATTTTGCATAAAGAGGGTGTTGCAAAACGATGTTCCAAGGGTTGTGAATTTGAACTTTCCACGCCCCGGTAGGGATCAAATTCTCTTACTGTACCATTTTCTTTTGGTTTAAGTCTACTTTCTACTTCCCAAAGACCAACCATCGTGTATCAATGCGGGTCAAGCAAACACACAGGATTGCGCAAATGAGCGAGGAGAGTGTGTTTACCTAGTTGTACCTCATCCTTAAACCTCTTCTCGCTTTCTACTTGTGAAAACATATCCCTCGAGATGCTTTCTTGCTAAGCTAATAAATTAAGCTTATTCAACTTAAGCTTCGACGGAGAGGAAAAAAAAGAGTCCCTTAAGAAAGAACTGGAAAACTCCGGAAAGGCAGGGAAACGACTTTCAGAGGAGCTGGATGATTCAAAAGGTTAAGGACGCAATGAAACGTTCATTTTTTGGACTAAGCATTTCTTTTGATTTATGATCGAAATTGAGCCAAGTTGAACGAATATCTGTCCGTAAAGATTGGTAATGGTACACAAGCATTAAATTTACTGTGACATAGTTCCCAATCAAGACACCTTCATTATAGCTAAGAAATCGTTGCCTTTCCAACTCAAGCATCCAGGGACAGAGAAAAAGAGTTACCTACAAATGAGCTGCAAGCCCCCAGAGAGGGACAGAATAAGAATGAGCGTAAAGGTAAGGAGCTATTGAAAAGGTATACCCTCTTGTGCGAGACTATCACTCTTTACAACAAACCCGACATTCGTAAGTCCACTGACTGATGATCGACCGAAAAAGCCAACCACGACAGTTCTAGGTCACTTTTAAATCATGTCAGTAGTTTTTTACTTAATATTTCGCCGTAACTCTCAATCGTAGTTATCTTTGTCGAGTTATTGATTTTTTTGTTTGACTTCTGCTCTATATAAAGCTTCAGGCAAGAGACTAAAAGAGGAACAAGGGAGTGTCAAAGAAATGGAAAAACTTAGGGGTAAGGTTTAACTAGCAATGGATTGTATCGGCGCGATAACGTTTGTCGGCAACTTTCCTTAAGATTCACAACAATGGCGCGGCAAAATAGAATATAATGGGCAGAGTTTGCAGAGAGAAGGCTCATCGCTAGAAAAGGACTTGAACATGAGGTGCCTAGGGATTTTTGAATATACATCCGAATCATTAGATTGGGCCCCCAATCATAATTTCGTTCAAAAAACTAAAGTAAAAAGAAGAACCTTTTGAGCACTTGTTGCTTTAATATTTTACAAGCTCCTTTTATTTTCCTTAATAAGCTCACTTTTGCTAAAATGAGTTTTTTCGGTTTTGATATCACGACAAAGGAAACTTGTTCTTGTAAGGCATCTATTCACCCCCTACTTCTTTAAATAACAAATATAGTAGGAAAATAATGGATCGTGCTCTTTTGTCATCTGAAACGGAACACTTAAATGCCACGCCATGATTAATTTGACGCCCAATTTTTTAGTTGTGTGAGAGATTAGGAGCACTATTCTTTAAGAACAAGCACCAAGTCGTTAATAATAAGGTGGTAATTCGGGAGTGCCCGAAGGTTCATCCTTCCTGTGGCATAAGTATAAGTATAAGTATTCAGGATATTTATCACTGGGTTGCCAGGATGTTGGTAGAACAAGTCAGAGAAAAGTTTGTAAACCACAAGGCGAAGTCAAGTATTTTCAAACTTTTTGAGTGTTCTCCCAACATTTCAAGTGGTTTATTAGCCGGTAGAAAGTGTGGTTTATTGCTTCTCTGACACAAGTAATTTTGTCAGAGATAATGATAAATTTAACCTTATTTTGTGATCAAGCCGCCGATTCTCATCAAACCGGTCAGAAAAGTGCGATAAACCAATCAAAGCGCCGGAAACTGAATGAACTGCCGACCAGAAAAGAGAAGGTCTGATTGATTGATCGTTGAATGAAAGCAATGACACGGAGAAACTGAGCAGAAATTGTTATGAAAATCAACGAGAAAGAGCGATACGTAAGATGAAGACGCAAACTATACCGTGCTACTGAAGAATAATTCAATTTGGACGCAGAAAACGCGATTTTGTGGTAAGGACTGGCCTACAGTTTTACTGAATGAAAAGGAGGGAAAGCTCGACAAAAATATGTACTTAGCTTTTTAGAAAACTGACTCTTTCTATGTCAAACGTGGACTGTCGTCGTCGTGTGAAGAGTCAAATATGACTTTTATTTGTTTATAAGTTTGTTGTTGTTGCACTGGCTTTAAACCAACTTTTACCGGAGTTTTTTGTAGTATGAACACCCAGATAAAAGGGTGCAGTTTGTTTGTTCATGGACTCTGGTCTCTTTTCAGAATAGATCTTGAAAAAAACAACAGGATCTCGTTCGCGCGGTAAATTTGGAGTCGCGAAAGCTTTACGTTTGATCGGTTGGACATTACGTGGATCAGCTCCACTTCTAGTTTTAATTTGTCTTTCAGAAAAATGTAAATGGTCAGCTCCATCTGCATCTTTCATGAGATGAACGTCTCCCCAGCACATTTGCTGATGCTCTCCACATCTTCGTAGACCAAAAAGCAGTGAGTCGAAGAGCCAGAGTGTATTTGTCAATGTTTCTCCGTTTGAAATTCCCAGAAGGCTTTTTTCGCAGAGAATATTGATCCCATCGCTTAAGGTTTCTGTTCCTTTAGGTTTATTTTCTTTTCCCTCCTTTTTAAGCTGCTTGTTTATAGCTTCAAGACATTTTCTTGCGCGTTCAAAAGCAACGTTTGCGATGACACTGACGGGATAATTACATTCTTTCAAATGTCGATTTAACTTGAAAACAGACCTCTAAGACTTGGAAGTTCAAAGTCTGCCCTCTTTTCACTTCACACGAAGGATAAACTCGCAGATATATTCGGTTAATTCTCTGGCTTTGATGTCTTCAGGATTTCTTTGCTCGTCTTTTTTTTTATCTCAGAAATTCGATGAGTAGCTTCACATCTCATGAATTTTTGCTTTGTTGCTCGATAAAGTAGTCGTCAATTTACTTTCCTAAATGCTCAAATCTCGTGGATCCTTGAGCCATTGTTAAAAGTACGAGTATTGTACTTTGGTACGAAACTTTTCTCGCTATGAAGGTTTGACGAGTCTCTCCTAATTGGACGAATCGCATCATGCACTAGTGAGAAAGCCATTTTGCTGCTGTGACTGGCTATTAGAATTTTTAAGCGGGTTTTCTTATGAAGAGAACTGTGAGTAATTCTCAGTATGTATATAATATCTAAGATTTAATATATTTCTTCTGATATTTTGTTTTAGCTGTGTCGCCATCAAATGAATGTGATCAGCCAGGTGCATCAAGGCCAACGCTTTTCAGGAAGTTTAAAGGTATCATTTCAAGAGCTGAGCTAAACTGTCAAATGGCGTGGGAGAAAATTTGACTGTATTTTTTTTTATTTCTAAGAGCCGTCGTAAATATTCCCATACAAACTCTTATAATTTTGCTATGACTCTCATTTCGCAAGATGATCATCTCACAGGTGGAGCTTGGGCCGCCTGTGCTTCCGCCAAACATCTTAAGGCACGATTTAGTCAACTGATGCGTAAGATTATTGTATTTATATGTTTCTGACTCCCTTAAAACCTATTTTATATAGTTTTGTTCTCGGCTTTGCTATCAACACATGATGTGGACAGGAGAGGTTGAATATAGGTTTTTAATTAACTGTGTTTGAGTCCAACTTGACCAAGATATGATTTCTCTGACACACAAAATCATTACTCCACTGTTTCGCAATTAGAACACTATGTGTGCGTCGAGAAGCCCCTCTGTCCAAACCAGCCATTTTTAACGTATACGGCGAAGGTTACCCATACAAATCATATTTTATGTGGATATAGTGGTCACAAAAATAAGGAAATTACAAGTGCATTTTCCTTTGTTTCTTAGGCTTTTTCGTCTCATCAAAGTCAACACGACAGGGAAGGCGTTCACATAAAAAAACAACGAAAGAGCTTAAAATTAACACCGAAGGTAATTTTTTGTTATTTTGGCATAAAAGTTTTTCTCACATACAGGAAGTGAAGTCACCCATGTTAAACAGTATTAGGATGAGGCTAGAAATTATATTTATATTCTCTTGGATGAGACCAGTTTGTCTAGTCTAGTTTTGTTCAGTAAAATGCTCAAAATTGTCTGTGGACAGTACCTGTTTTATAGACTCGTTTCGTGAAAACTAATCCATTTGTTATCACAAGAGACTGCCCAAAACTATGAATCTCTATTTGCATAGAAGCATGTTCATAAAAGATATCTAGAAATTCCGAATCCACTGCGCAGGCGCGTATTTGGAAAATCCCATGCATCACCCCGTTCTCATTTTCAAATTCACAAACAAAAGCTCCAAACTTAAAACTAAATTTAGGCTGGGTCTATAAATTTGAAAGATAAATTCGATTTTCAAACTTTCATTAATTTTCTCAGGAAACTCATAGCGACGTGAAACAACCATGTCATTTCGAATTTTTATTTATAATCTCAGCTTCTTCAGGAATGCAGCTGTTAGCCGTGAATGAAGACCATCTTGAAGATGTTCAAGAGCACGAAGAGAGGACAGACAGACTGGAAATTTTAGGAAGTAAAGAAGTGGAAATGGACAGTACTGGTAAATTAAATTTAAAGGTTAAGAATGCTGTAGAAACCATTTATGATGTTCAACACCACCTTTGACTAAAATTATACATGAACGAATGACATTTACTGCACTTTCCAAATGGTCCGTGCACAGTTCGTCCACTCGATATTTTCATTAATTGTTCTACATTTCAAGTGACGACGAAAAAGCCTATCCACAACTTTAGTTTAAGTTTTCCAATCATAATTTTACTAACGTTTAACCTGATTCTGCCTAAAACTCATCGTTTAATTGAATTCTGAGTTGAACCACCTAGCATTGAGTTCCTTCGAACGCTAAATCGTTTTTGGTAGCGCAATGGCGGGCGCTTATTCGAAACAGGACGCTTATTAAGGGCATGGTGCTTATTTCTTTAATAAGAAACAGCAGAATGTGCGAAATAAGCCTATGCTGTTTATCTGAAAGGGATTAAGAAGACTGAAAACGGGCGTGTTGTCCGTGGATCCTTATTGACTAGAACGACTAGCATGCAAGTATTCGTCGCAAAATTTTGAGACGAAATCATTTATTTGAAGGAGCGGTGCACTTACGTGAACATTATAGTTGAGAGACTGAGACTATGGCCACTACTTTCCAAATAATTCTTTAAGTGAATAGTTAGAGGAAGATGAATCACGGTTGATCTCCATGTAAATGTACTCGAACAGTGCTATCGCAGATACAGAATAGGGGCGCTTTATTTAGAGAGGGGCGCTTATGGGGACGAATGCGCTTAATCGAATCATTACGGTAATTTTTCGTTCATCGTCTTTAAGCCCTATTTTTTGATACAACGACAACAAAAAAGAGGAGGATAAAGCGGCGCTTAACTTACGATTCAACAGATTGTTCTCTAGACAGAGCGAGTGATAGCGACGGACAGAGGTAGTCATTATCATCTGATCAAATTACCAGACATACTAGGGGGCCGTAATGGGATGATAGCTTTCACAGCGAACAATTAAAATTTTGGCCATTTTACGGCCAACACGGAATTCCTTTCCATTACAACTAAAGAAAAGTTGTCGTGATTAACTTTATTTATGACTTATGGTTAATTATTGTCAATTTTTACGGCTAACGGTTAACCTCATTGATACCCTCATACAATAGCTCGTTGTAGGTCAGTATTCCCTCGGTTAAAGCCCTCACGGTATTCATGGGAAACACACTCAACAAAGTATTTAATGACCTAAGAGTCAATTGTGACTCCGTGCTAAACGTAGCCTGGTGGAATTTGCGAAGCAAAAATCTACAGAGCATTCTGAATGAAAATAAGTACGAAAATGTATGAAGGCATAGCGAAATGCAGTTTTTTCGTACCCTTCTTTCCCATCATGCAATAAATTCCATTGAAATTGTTAGTGTCCAGGCCTTTTTTTAAGGTTTTGGCTTTGGATTAGCTTCTTCAGGAAGATGTAAAGCCGGTCTTTCCCTCGTTAAAAATACCAATTCTGGGAAGCGGTACCACAAGATGACGGACGGTCAGGAAGGTTTGGAGAGTGACGGAGGGAAACGAAGCAATGGTAAACGAAAAATGATTTCCTCATATTTTAGATACCTTTTTAGAGACTTATGGCGTTTATCTTGTAACATATACCCGTGAAACAATTCCAAAATATAAATAACGAAAACATAAATTATGATAATGAGAATGTTAATGGTAACTGATTGTGAATACATGAAAATCATATGTGTGAACTGCGGATAAATACGCGAATATGAAAGCGATCTTCGTCGTGATAAACACTACCTGAGCAACGTGGAAAAGAATTTTGGGCGCACTGAATTTGGTGACGATATTGATTAGAATGAGAAAAATAAGATGCATGAAAATTGGAGCAAAAACCCTTAGGAATAACTTTGGAATGAAGGCAACGGCCGATGAAATGGATGTGGCTACAAAACCTAGTTTTGGCGAAAAACTAGGCGCTAGCCCCTTTACCAGAGAGGAACTCACTCAATTTATAACCGCCGTCAATTCCTTTCATCCGGTTCTTAAATATACCTGGGAAATTTCCGACACTTTTTTGGCTTTTCTAGACATGAAAATTTTAATTGAAGGCAACGGTTTATGCACTAGTGTTTACTACAAACCTACAGATTCACATAGTTACTTGTTGTATTCATCTTCGCATCCATCACATGTCAAGAATTCCATACCTTTTTCACAGTTTCTCAGACTTCATCGTTCATGTAGTGACGACTTTGATTTTTCAGAGGCAATGTGCCAGTTTTTCGATAAACGTGGCTACGCAATTCCTGTCGTTCAAGCGGGCCACCACCGTGCCCAACAATGATCGACAGTCAGCAGTCACTACAAACGGCTGAGAGGGGAAATACCTATCGCCTTCCATTCACTCTCACATTTCACCCTAACACCTACGCAGTTAAATCTATCATTCTTAAAAAGTTTATATTTCTCCAAAACCCTTCAGAGACTGATTCTATCTCTTCACAACCTCCACTTATTTCATTCAAACGTGACAAAAACATAGGCATCATTTCAAACCATGACCAATGACCAACCTGGAACTTTCAAATCGATGTCTTCACTCACCTTGCAAAACTTGTCCTTTTATTCATAGCGTAGAGAAAATGTCGAAACCTAAGAGATCCATTAAGATGATTGATCACTTTAGGTGCACCTCCGCCAAAGTCATTTACTGCATAACTTGCACTTTTGCAAAAAGTTATTCATTGGTGAGACAGGAAGACGACTAGGTTTCCGAGAACACCTTCGCGACGTAGAAAGAAACGACAAGGACGCATCCAAACCAGTCACAAGTGACTACATCGTGAGACAAACGAAAAAACTTAGCTTTTATTGTATTCACTACGACGAATAACCACAACCTTTTCTACGTAATTCATTCTTGTTTTCCCGTCCCCATAATCCCACCAATAGCGTAGCTCCATTTTCAACATCTAAACCCACACACAATCCACAATTCCTCCAATCGCTCTGACAAAGGGCTAGCGCTCGAAACGTCAGCCTTTAAACTCTTTATGGTGGCCAATTTACGTTTTCGACTCGGTTGATAATACTAAATTATCCTGCTATACTCTCCCACCAACGCAGTACCACAGTTTCTTTAGAAACTTACCCCCTTTATTCATAAGTAAGACTTCATTTTGACTAGTATTTGCATAAGGGACAGTCGCAAAACACTTTTGGAAAAATTCATTTCCAAAGAGGAGTACAAAACTTATGGCTAAACTTTTGCTTATTTAACTATCTTAAGGAATGGTTCCAACTAACAGTTCCGTGGATAACCATGTCAGCCAAAACCATTTTGACGTAGAAGCCACAATCAATCAAACGACAGACAGGCAGCAAAGTATTCGCAATGACGTAGCTCTGCAGCAAATGTTTGGTAATAAAATATTATATTGTAAAAGAATAAAAACTATGGTAAATTTTGTGCTCGGTAAAGAAATAGAGGAAGTTGTTTTTCGTCTTGTCACGAGCGTGGGACAAAAAAAAATTGTGAGTCCCCATAGGGAATCGAACCTCAGACCTTAGGATTCCTCACTCCGATGCTCTACCACAGAGCCACAGAGACTCGACCATGAGCGAAGTCTATTACGAAGCTCACGGTTGTATATATATAAGTACATCGTGATTTGAATACATTTTTTCAAACAGGGTAAAAGAGAATATTGAGCGCACCAACGACTTAATCAGATTCAGTTGCAATTACATCCAAAAACATGAATCGGAACTAACTGACCAAAATTCAAGCCCTCGAATACTTTAGATTGTTCTTTAGTTGGCATCAGTGTAGGATCTTCAAATAGGGATGTATTGTCTTCATTTCAGTTCAGATTCGGCAGAGGTCAGAGAGGAAAAATAGTAATAGTAAATATTCAACCTTATCTTGTCAGCGTATTTCATTACTCAAAGGGCATGTTGTGGAGGAGACTGTTGTAGTCATTTCTTTAAACAAGTGAGTGTAATAATGCATAACTTAGTCGGGCTAGGTATAAAGCTTTAGAAAGACGACATTCCCTCTAATCCTCTTCCATTTCCGTCTATTATCTTCATGTTTCTCTCTCGCAAACGTTAATAACTTAACACCTTCTGTTATTAATGGAATACACAGTTACGGCTACTAGTTATTGGATCCACGGGGCAAATATTGCAACTCACTAGAAGGAAACATCTGGCGAAAGGTTGTTCCGACGTCCGAAAAAACGATTTTAGAGAGAGATTATGGCTTTTTCGCTGCTCTATCATCAGAGATGGATATGGGTAATGCTGATACAAGGGAAGCGTGAGTTTTTGTCCGAAAAACCATGAAATATGTAGTAAAATCTACCGATTAACTTGTCTCAAGGAATAAAGTTCATTGTAAATTTGACATCGCGTAATGGTCTCGAAATTTAGAAATACTTACTATAAATCGCCAAGAAATGGCTCAAAAAAGTTTTTTGGACGTGTTTTAAGTCTAATTCTAACTTTTTTCGTGCTTGGTAATACAAAAGAGCGCTACAAGAGCTACCTCGAGGCAGCTGATGAGATTGAAATGGCGTGCTTGAGCATTAAATATTATTGTGGCACATTAAAGTGATAAAACACCTTCACTGCTTCTTTGCTGTGATCATTGAGAACGAATCAGCGCTGAAAATGGCTCAAAACAGAACCCTTTCTTCTGTGACGATGAGTGATACAAATTGGTCCCTTAAGGAGCGATGCACAACTGATGATATGTCCACTGTTTCTGTCAGAGTTTCCATGATCTTGCTTTTCCTGACAAGATACTCCAAGGAGTTCGAAAAGAAAAGTTACAGCTAAAAGACCTTTGGATTTTTCTCAAACAAACTATCACTTGGCCTAGGGATATCCTCATGTTTCTCATCGCTTATTTCATCCTTTCAGAGAGCAACAGCTCGGTTAAAATAATTTCCATCTCCGCTGACAATGACTTCTCTCCTTTGGGGAGGTATATTTTCTATCGTTGTAATTTGCTTATTAAATACGTTAACAAGCATGGAAACAGGCTATACATAAATAAATACAACTGAGAAGACTAAAAAGTAGTTATTTCCTGGCGATTTATGGCTAATTTTGTAATATTTCGAGACCATTACGCGTAGACGATTTCACAATAGACCTTACGCAAGGAGAGAAGTTTTTCGATATTTTTTATAACGTGTTTCGTGGTAATTGTAACAAAAACTTACACTTTCCTCGTATCAATTTTGTCTTTATCCATTAATAAAAAAGCTGTTTTTTGAACCTCTAAACAACCTTTCACCATATATTTCCTTCTCGCGAGTTGCAATGTTTGCCCCGTAGCGATCCTAGAAATTAGTGAGCAAACACAAGGATCCGATTACTGGCAACTCATTCAGTTATTGTCTTCCTTTATTGTTTCTTCCTATTATTTTTTTGAGTAAAGGACGACGCAAGGAAAACCATATTAAAAGACTATTTTGACATGTTTTCTTCACATGCATAGGAGTGCAACGACAATAATTCCACTTCTAAATTGAAATGTTCCTTCCCTTAGATATGCGGTGGTCCATCACGGTGCTCAGGTAAAAGAATGTAAACAAAAGTCAAAAGGACTATTACAAAGTCAGATTTATGACTGAGCGGTTGTCCTTTTGACTTTTCTATGGAATTGAACTGATCACGTCTTGATTTATATAACGTTGAGCAAGATCGATCGTCCACGCTGGTTACCTGAAATTTTAATTTGCCCTGATAACGACACATGCAATAATGCCCTACGTAAAGGGCTTTTTTGCACAGCCTCCCTCTTCACCGAGCGCCCAAAAACTGGCTACCATGAAGGTAATTGCAACTTTTCACCTCACCTTGTCCTCGTGTAAAAGCTAGAGCGATATCAGTCTGTTCTTTCAGAGTTATAATTGAAATATCCCTGGATATGCTTATAAAATGATTATTGATGAGAACAAAAGCCATATCTTGAATGGAACTTAACGATAAAAAGGGGAGTTTCTGATTGATAAAAATTGTGCTGTTTTAGAATAAAATACATACTCATTTTCTAACATTTTTCTTACATTTTGAAGGTCCAGGACAACTTCCACCAATGCGCTATGCTCAAAGTCTACCTTCACTACAACATACAATGGACAGTAGGGACCTAGTCAACGTAATATGACAAGCCTTCATAGACTTCTATACAAAAAATTTACAAAATTTTTAAACTTCATTTCACTGAAAGTTACTTCCAGTGTTTTCTCGCGTTCGTCCATGCCAGGGAAAAAGAGCATTTCTTTTCATTCAAGTGTACAGTTGGCGAGTCTCTTAATCACAAATTAATATAGACTAGTATTCCCCCTTGTATAAAAGAACAAAAAAAATTAAGAGGTTTGAGTAAGGAAGAACGCTGCCATATCAGTTATTCTCCAATCTCATTTATTGATAACTTCCCCCAGAAGTACTTTTGAAAAGCATCATGAGGAGGCGGAGCTTGTTTTATCTTTTCACCATAACTCTTCGGCAAAACTAGCCTTATTTAGGAGCCCATTATCAAAGAACTTGTGACGGTGAGACTCAATGTCTGATTCTGCCACAAAAGAACACTTAAATTCACATATTGGTCATGACGATTCTATTTCGGAAGTTTTTATAATGTGACGGACCAATTTTCCAATCAGTTAGAGTAGCAGTACTCAACAAATCAACAAATCAGTTACTAAAGCTATGACATTTACCCCTGCAGAGCGAAATAAAGATCGAACAGCAACCTAAATCTCAAAAACAACAGGAAGGTTCAAAAGTGGTTTTTGAGTTGAAGGTGCAGGAGCAGGATAGATATTCCTATCAATGGCTGAAAGATGGAGCCGAACTGGAGGGAAAGTGCGATGCCACCCTTATCCTTGATAATGTTGAGCTCCGTGAATTTGGCTGGTACAGTTGTCTAGTTTGCTCTCAAGAAAATTTTGGAATAAACTGCGAATCATCACGGGCATGGCTGGACGTTGTCCCTAGTCAGAATGGAACAAGTAAGAACTGCCAGAAGCGCGAGAAACCTTAATGCCTTAAATCCTTTATATGAAAATAGCCTGCACGTGCCCTGTACTAGCTATGGTAAACATCCCGAGGAAAAAAACTAATCGAACATGTTAACAAAACCAGTCTTTTTTGCGACAAAATCATTGCTTAAAGATTACATGCAAGTCTCCAGTCTTAAAACTCTCACACGCTATAAAACAATGAAATACGCATCTTTTTGAAAGACTGGGTCCAAATGTGCTTAAAGTAGCTCAACTAAAGATAACGACAAATGGTGCGCTGATTCGGACGCATGGAATTCATTCGTTTTTTCCTGTCGTTGTACGATACATTAAACAGCTTTGATTATTTGTTAAGTTATCTCTTTTACATCATAGAACTAAAAACGTTTTCAGAGGTAGACCTATCAACTTGTGATAGGATAGCTTCCTATCTGGAAAAAAAAGTCTCATATGGTCTTGGAGGTGACAGACAGGCGGCCGCTGTGTTTGGCATGACAGGGGACATGATTGGAGCACTTGGAGCATCCAAGTCCGCTGGACAAGAGGTCATTGAATTTGTGAAGGTGACTAAACCAGACATAACAGTTTACACAGTTTGTAAACAGTTAAAGGACGACAAAATGAGGCGTTTTGATATCGCAAAGATCTTGGAGAACCATCTTACAATTACTGAAAGTGAAGTCTAGTTTAAAAGCTAAATCTAAAAAATATCTTAATTCTAAAAACAGTAAAGTCCTCCTCCAATATGTTCTTAATTTTTCAGTAGTTTCTTTGAGTGCACACTTAAAATTTTCCGATCAGTAGGACCTATTTTGTAGTGTATCAAGGAGCCTTTAGAAAATGCGCTTCAAGGACAATATAAAAAAATGCCTGTAATCACTCCAAAGGCCAATCTGAATATTTTCAAGGAGCTAATGAAAACTCAGGGGAAATGTCTGTCTCATGAACCGTCTTTAAGCTTGGGAAAACGCGCCCAGACCAACTCAAGTCTTGGTTGATTTAAGGGTTTTGAATTTAATTGTCTAACGCCAGGCATTAGTTATAACCAAATACACAGTAAAGGAGAGCAAAACCAAAACTATCCACCATAGAGGCGCTTTTGACGCTCAGTTCAAAACCCACCCCGGCTAGCAAGCGAGTACATGTATAAGTAAGTTAATGAATAAGTGAGTAAGTGATGAGTAAGTAAGCAAGCGGATAACTTTGAATTGTAGCATGTTGTGAAGCACCGATAGCGAATGTAAGGAAGTCTACCATAGGGTTATTGTCGGCGGTTAGAGTCGATCAGAGTTAGACGATAACACTAAAGATCAGTCAGACATTTAGTCATTAAGGGTGGCCAAAGAGAAGATATAAAATTTGACCTTTAAAGATTTTCTAACATGTTGTTGAGTTGGAGTAAAGAAATGAACACACAAGGAATAAAATTCATAGAAAATGTGTTTTACTCTCTTGATTCCTGCTTACACGTGGTTTGTTTCTTTACCAGTATTCAACTCTTTGAATGAGTTTCTAGCTCTTGTTTCAAATCTATTCTGATACATATATTAGCCATCAAGATAAGCTAAATTTAGACCTGACAACCTGTGACGGAAGGGTCTAAGCCAACAAAAAACCACAACGCACATAGTTTCGCCGTAAACCTTAGTTTTTACAGCACAATATACGTTATTTTGTTCACTGAAATATCGAAGAAACAACGAAGACACGACAACACCACTTGTCCTAATGCCCCAGTCGATAGACATAACAAGCCGTCAAGTGCAGCGAAAGCTTGGATGAACGAACACGTTGGTATGCATTGCTTTCTTTTCAGAATCTGTGAATGTTTGATTTCAATAAGAAAATAATCTAAAAAAATTATCTCAGTTAGTTTTACTCCCAAGTCGTAGACTTTGCTGAAGGGATTGGGACTTAGATGGACGTGGTATCAATTAAGACACCATTCATTATTTATGTAAGGGAGGGAGGGAGAGAAAAAAAAGGAGGGGGGGGGGACCAGGGCTATTTCAGACTGGCTAACGGGAGGCTAAACCTTTAGTAAAGAATTTTGGGGGTGGGGTCAGCAGTTTGACAGTTTGAGTTGCATTGAGTGGTCCATTGCCCAAGGTGGGTAACACAGTTAAATAATGGAGTGCAAAAAACCAATGCAAAATAGAAATGCTAAATTTTTCAATTTTGTGTTAATTCTTTGTTTTCTTTCGTTAAACGCCACTATTTTGAACAACTTAGTGATTTTTATTTCACAGAAATACTGCTTGTACTCTAACCTCGTCAAAACTACCTCAAATTTAAGTAAATAAAGAATCCTGACCCATCTGTTTTAATATTTGGTTTAACTGAATTTTTTTGACAAAATGCTCGTAACATCAATAAACCAAGAAGTGATTAAACAAATTATAACAACAAAAAGTAGTCGTTTTACAGCTGTAGGAAAATCATTGGACAATTATTTTTTTGCATGGTTATTATATGTGTTCACCATGAAGTCATAAGTTGTAAAATCTAACACAAAGTCAATAAATATTTTCCTATATTCAACGACCTTAATTTTCAGTTGCTAATAACGTTAGGTATGTACATTATTATATATATATATATGCATAACTTGTCCAAAATTTGCCCTATAGCCGGAAGGGCATTCTTAGTAAAGAAGCCTCGGTTGACTAAGTGTTTCAGCCTTTCTGCATCAAAACTAGAGTGCAAGATTTTCAACACCTCAAGGTTAAGTTCTTCCTCGGAGACTGAATATTGGCTTATTTGACTGTTATACGATACGAAAATTTTGTGATTTAGTAGGTTAGTTCCGTTGTTATGCAAAGTAATCATTACAAAAGGTTGTATGTGACATGAAATTTAATCATTACTAGTCATACATGAGGAGATTTGAGGTGGCTGGGAGGTCATCACGTAAATATTGAATAGAGAGGGGGGGGGGAATCACTTGTTATTTGCATGTCGTGGACGGGGTGAGGGAGGGGCTCATAGAAATTTTGATCTCTCCAACATATTTTTCTTATTTTTACCTCCCCCCATTGCCTCTAGATAATTAATGACCGGTTCCTTAGACTTGATTTAGCTGTTTTATCTCAGCATAACCAAAGGTTTACGTTATGTTGATTCACTCTGAGCCGGATGCTGTTCTAAGACGGATAATTGGATCCATTTGGAAGGTGTTTAGACTGTGTCATGGAAATCGCCCATCAAGGCAACCTTGTAAACGACTATCGAAACTGTTGCGTGACAACTCCAGAGTTGGTAACATTTTGCCTTAATTAGGTTTATTAGAGCTTCGCAGATTTTTTTTACTCTCGTTCTTTTTTCTCCTTCTTAGTTCTCCATTTTAAGAGTTCCCTTGTATTTCTAGCTTTACGAGTTTAAGAGTATGTTTGATACTGACCCAGCCGGCTAGCCCTGGCGCCAGTGTTCTTTCTTGCTGTGACGTCATTAAGTAAGTTTATTTCAATTTTGAGCACAGTTGTCCCCCTCACCAACAGCCGCTACGCAATACCGGAGTTTTCCAAGGTTAGAAGGCTGTTCCTTTCTTTTGCCACTCATGTAATCCATTCTGTATTTTTGGAAAATATAAAGGAGAAATGGACTTGTGAAGATAGTTGATTAATGATTAATGCTGACGTACGTTTGCTGGTGAGATCTAATTGATTCGGTGTGTTTCGACAAGTACTCTGATAGTTCTTTCACCATATTATCTATAACTAACATTTAACTTGCTAAGTGCTACTATTAAGCGCTGTAGGTAAGGGAAGGAATTCAGTTGAACAGTTCATAGCAACCATCTCTAACCATTCTTTGGAGTGATCGAGCCTTTTCGCTTCTGCATGTTAATCACCTTGTTAATGAAAGGTAATTGATATTTTTAAAGCTATATAACATGATATTGCGTTCCAAAAATGTTTCCTTTCGCTCCTTCTCACTCTCTCTTTAGCAACCCAGCTACACGAGGAATTATCCAAGAAAGGATATGCAAGCGACGTTATCGATTTGTTTATTGATCTTCGGCGTTTGTTTGCAAGTTAGTAAAATTATTTCCGTGCCTGTCAGTTTAGTCTAGTAATTAAAGCGTGACCTGCTGAGTAATCAACAAACACGCTAACAGTTATTTTGTACGTTGAACTAACGTGTTTCAACTACATTCGAGTTAACGTCATCTTGCTAGAAAAAAATTGTTACTTCTTTGTAGACGTTTGTGATTATGAATTACTGTAGTGTAAGGTAGTATGTAAACTATAGTTTAATCGAATGAAGTCTGTGAAAGGAAAAATTACCGTTCGCAAAGGGGAAGGAGAAAAAACCTACTAACTTAAGGATGGTTGTTTTCTCCTAGCTAGAGGCCTTTCTTATCATATCTGTTACTACCAGACATGTTTGGACATACCTTTACATCCCTCTGAGATTAGAAAGGCCTACTTGTTTCCTGAACTCAGAAAGAAAATTCTAAGAGTAGATGATCAATGTAATTTCGTTTGAACCTCATACTCAAGAGAGAAAATAGGATACAAAAATATGTTTGAGCTGTTTGAGACACCTTGAGAGATCTTGGTGAATGTTATTAAATTACTAGGTCCTCTATGAAAGGTCCTGGAACTCCCAGTAAAGAAAAATCTTGTGCCTTAGAAGTGTGAAAATCTTGTGACTTAGAAGAGTGAAAATTTTTTTTTCTCGCATCCTACCCATCAATCTCTGAGTGAAACAAATTGTGGGCAACAGTTTATAGTTTTATGTTTTAAACCCATTTAATTTGATTATGCTCTTTTTGCTCTGTTAGGGAGATTTCTGTGAAAGTAATAAAATATGTCATGGAAAGCAATACACTGTTAAAAGTGCTGATGGAAACTTTGAAAAATGTCAGCCTTGTGGAGTCTGCAATGAGGGATGGGGGCTGGAACCAAAATGTGGAAGTATTGTTATAAGCCCTGTGAATGAAACTTATTGCCAGCGTTGCCATGATGGAATAACATATTCTGACACTTATGACTCTTCTCCTTGTTATATGTGTCAGCGCTGTGCAGAACATGAGATTGAAAAAACATCCTGCACAAGTGATACAAACACCAAATGCAGTGGAACTTGTGAATATGGTTATTACTATAATGCTCAGGATGCATCACATGCATGTCATGAGTGTTCTCATTGTTGTTCTGATGGAAAAGATGAGATACAAGCAGAATGTGTAAGACATGGCCTTGAAAAAAGACACTGCAGCCTGCGAATGGATACAAACTGTGGTCCTACAATAAAACCTTCAATTAGCAGCAATACTGGAGATTCAGGAAAATTTAGGCCAATTTACATCCTGTATATTTGTATTGGTGCACTTGTTGGTGTAGTAATTTTACTTGTTGCAGTATTACTTAAAAGAAGAAATGCAGGTCAAAATAACCTGTCAGTGGACACCAATCCTGAGCAGGGTATTAAGCAGCATGAGGCCCAACCAATGATTCATATAAATGGACGTGCAGACCCTCAGCTTGACAACATTAATCTGACAACTCCAACAAGTAAGAATTCAATAGCTACTGATTAACACGTAAGGTGCCAAGTCAAAGCTATGAAGAGATACTGAATACATTACGCTATCATTAATTTTCCCTTGCAATTCTGAGTCCTAAATAATTATTCAGCACCATAAATTTAAAACACTGTATGATGGCCTTAGTGTGATCCATTAATGATATGTGGCCATCTTAGATGATGAGTGCACTTTGTTACATTTTCACTTGTTTTGTATCTCTCAAATCTAATTTTATACTACAAAGGTGGAGTCCCTGTGCAACCTGATTCCTCATTGAAGGGTATGCATTGTTGCAAACAGCAGGCATGATGCAATATTAATAATGTTGAGATGTAAGGCTTGCCATTGATGTATACTTTAACTAGAAACATACATTATTTAATGTTCCCAAATGTTTTCCATCACAGAAAGTGGAAAATACAACCATGAGTCTACACAAGTTTCCAGTGGCACTACACTTCACCCAGTTGTCTCTGAACTGAATCCTGGTTATGCTCATTCCAACGCAGGAACACCTTGTGTGTCACCCAAGGGAACACCTGATTTATCCAGGCAGCAGGATGGTTTGTAACTTCATATCATATACATAAAACATAGCCAAACTATGTGTCAAACTATGATTCCTTGCTTTTAAACGAACCTTAAATACTCAATTCCATAGTGTTTTGTATTGTTGACTATAGGGCAGATAAAAATTATCCAGCATCCTACATCTCAAAAACAAACAGAAAGATTGCGTGTGGAATTCTCATGCAAATGTGAGGTACCTAGTGGAACTCAAGTTTTGTACCAGTGGTTCAAAGATGACCAAGAACTTGAGGGAAAAACCTCGGACACTCTCCTTTTGGATTCTGTTAGAATGCAAGATTTTGGGTGGTACAGATGCCAGGTTTCTTGTTCAGGTGACACAAGAATGGAACCAGTTAAGTCAGGACCCGCAGAATTGAATGTTACTCCATGCCCTGGAAAAAGTGAGAATTATTGTTTTGTTTGTTTGTTCTTTTTTTTGTTTTATATGAAACACAAATCAATGAGCCACTGATATGGGTATGTGAAAGAAAAGGTAAATTCCTTACTCAAGCAAAGGGGCTCATCTACCCTCCCAGCTGGTGTCTGTATCATGAACAGGATTGGGAGTGCTGCTACTCCCCCAGGGATGCTGGTCGATCCCATTTCACCCCCCCCCCCCCTTGTTTACTTTAAGTGAAATAGCTTATATTGCTGCTCTACCTTCAGTTAAAACTTCTCGCAAATGGAGAGGGGGCATGGGAACCTTAAGGCCCCCTTCTACCATTCCTACAGCAACCTTAAGGCCTCCCTCCAACATCCCTACAGGTCCTTGTTCCCTTTTTGGTTTTTTTCTTTTTGTGGTTTTTCTGCTGCAGTTTTTTTCCCTTGACTCAAGCTGGGTCTAAAAGCAGAACTTTTGGCAGAACCATTCTCTGATTGAAGAACATGGAAATTTTCCTTACTCCAGCCCCCTACTCTCAGTCACTACACGCAATATTTTGGAGACTTTTGGCCTGGGATTAAATCCCTTTTAGGGTCTCAGATATCTCTTTGTTCCACAGTTGAACATATGATTCCATTTTTGTATTGGTTCCTTCTTCTGTAGCTGTTGTTCGGCACTGAATATCTTATTTTGTTCCCAACAGAATTTAAGACTTTAGGAGAGCTCGAATTTAAAACAAAACATCGAGTAGCTATGCTTCTTGAGAACACAACTCCAGGTGTTGGTGGATGGAGGGAAATAGCTCATCGAAATGGAATGGATGATGATTTGGTGAAGAATTTGGAGACTAAACAGGACCCTGGAGAGAAGGTTGTGGACTTTTTACTGGCATTTAAACCGGATTTACAAGTTTACAGTTTTTGCAAGACACTCAAAGAAATAAAATGCTTCAATATTGTGAAAGTTTTAGAAGACGAGCTTGTTAACTAGTGACTCAAAGATCATAGTACCCTAACGCCCTATCGTCTTTTCTGTCGGTTACCGATTACTTCGCCGACATGTCAACTCGCCGACACCATTACTCAATCAAGTCTTTCCACAGCTCTGTAATTCCTCTAAACCATCGCTGTTGAGAGGAAATGTTTCATGGTTCGTCACTCGTGGTAGCCATGACCTGCCTCATTTAATGTTATTGTCACAAAGATGTGAATAGGTCACTGTTCGTGCATGCGTCAGGAATAAATCTTTATTGTAGAAGGTAAAAAGTGTTTAGCCTAGATGCGTTGTTCTAGATGTGACATTATGATCAGTGAGATCTGAGCACGGGTTGCTAGTATTTTTATTGTACAATTTTATGAATAAAATACATGCTTGTAAACACAGAATTATACACGGTTGTGAATTTCTTTGACCTCAAAAACTCGACAAAGACGCTTTCAAGTTTTCGAAAGTCGGGTCAGATATAACTTTGGCAAGATCGACTGAAATATATCACCTTAGCGCCAAGTTTTCGCCATCGCCGAATAAGTTGATTAACAGAACGTTTAGCGGCATTCGACATAGGTTGCTTTCCTTGTTCGTTTCCATTGTAGAATTTGACGACCTTTGGTATGATCTTCATATCTTAGTCTTTGTGCTCCATGCTCCTTGGAGGTAAGCGTTGTGCAACGATCTCAGGCTTACGGTTTTCTTACGAGATCAAAGTACCTCGAAAAACGAATCAAACTACCCTTCTGATCTCTCCCACAGTTGATTTCCATACATTTTAGACATAAGTAATAAAAACCAATTGAATTCCGCACTTACTTCCGGATTACTTGCGTGACATAAAGATGCGCCGGGCATGGGGCTGAGTGAGCAAGTCCCGTGACTCCAACTTTGTTGCACACTTGTTTATTTTTTCCTGTTTGCTTGCAAGCTCAGCTGAATTCGCGACAGACATCATAAATTAACTTCGTAAGGAAAATGTCGACTCTTTTCTAATTTAATTACAAATCAGGTAATCGTATGTAATCATATGCTGTATAAACGATGATTCTCGAGTTGTTTCCGCGATCACGCAGAGAGTGGTTTACACATTGCGTTGTTCACTTGTGAAAAGTGGGCGTTTGACTCGGCAGCTGAAGTACGCTAACTTTTATTTTTAGGGATTCTTTGGAAGATTTCTCCGAATTCATCGTTGCTTCATTTCACTTTGTGCCAATTTGGCAGTTAACGACTCTCATCTTTAACGCAACTCACTTATAATCTATTTTACAGTGTAATTTCTAAAGTGTTAATTCGACCAACATCTTGCAGAGTCTACGGTTGTCAACCTAGCGTGAAGCGAAGCTTTCTGTTGCTACACTGTTTTTTCTCTGCAGGCAAATGAGACAAGCTCGTATTTGACATTGGACTATTATGCAGTCAGTAACAGTGTTTTTAGCCTTTACTTGCTTCTGTTTGGTAAGTAATGCAGACTTTAATTTCTTTGGCACATTTGTTAGGAAACTTAATTACCTACTTTAAAACATTCATAATTAGTGTGAAAATTAGTTAATTCGTTCAAGAAAGCTTAATCTTCTTCTTTTACCAAGAGTTTTGATGAGCACATCAGCTTCTATCAATTACATGAGATGGGTTTTAAATAGAGAAGAATCTGTCACCAAAATGAATTAATTATTTACGCATTTGAAACCTTTTTAAGCTATATAGTGGAAAACACAGGCTGCGTGAACTTTAAGTTTTCATCATGGTCTTATTTGAAACGCGTCAGATCAAATTTATCTGGTGATTTACTTCGTTAGAGATACAGAAATATAAATCTAGTCTTGTATCACACGCATGTAATACATCATTTTATTTAAATAGATATCTCGAGCCACATTTATTCGTTCCTCAATTTGTTCCCCTTGGCAATTTTTCTCTTTGAGAATTAACTTTTCCCTGAAAGTGTGGATGAAAAAAAATAATGAAAATGAAGTCTGTAGACTTTGACGAGGATACGTGTCTAGGAATTATTAAAAGGTTTATGAGAGTTAGAAAAGCTTTTGAAGTTTTCCGTGCAAGTGCCGTTGACATATGAATAATTTCTTTACTAATATGTTCTGTGCTTCCGTAGCCAAACCGATGAAATCGTACACTTCCTATCCCCTTTACAACCCTTTTTTAAAGAAAAATTAAACCTAGAAAAAAATTCAAGTTAAACAGCTGACTTCAAAATATCAATTGAAATCTTAATTCAGTCTCTCAATATTATTTTGAAAGTAGGTGATAGAGACTTCATCTTGTATAAAAACCCACATTTATACCAAATTTCCTTGCCTGTATATTTTGTCAGAAACAATTTGGTAAAGAAAATGATGAGTATTATTGGCACAGTCATTCAGACTTTTCTGAAGTGGGGTGACTGGCCTACATTAACAGCAAACAATTATTCAGAAGAATACTTGATGAATAATGAATGAATCTTTAAGAAACCTATTAGTTAAAACCTCTTATTTGGCAACCTGGTAAGACTTGGCATAAAGCAAAGCATGGCTACTAAACACATTTTTCTCCTTTTTCTTCTTGCTAGGAAGTACTTGTCTACTGTAATAAAATCTGTCATGATGACAAGTACACCATTGTCAGCTCAAATGGAAGCTTTGTGAAGTGCTTTCCCTGTGCCACATGTCATCCTGGATGGGGATTGCATCCTCCATGTGGAAAACAATTGACAAGTGAAGAAATGCTCAAAATATCTTGCGAAAAATGCCCTTCAGGCACATTTTCTGCCGAGCTAGACCCATCCTCTTGTACAAACTGTCAACAGTGTGCTCCTCATGAGATAGTATCTGCCAATTGTACCAAGGTATCTGACACAAGTTGCAATAAAACGTGTGCTAAAGGATACTTCTTTGTTGAGGTCTCTCACAGCTGTCAACAATGTTCATATTGTTGTTTTGACAAAAAAGATGAACCGCAGCCAGAATGTATCAAACATGGGTTCAATGCTACTGGTCAATACTGTAGCATTCGATTGGATAAGACGTGCACTCCAGTACCTCCAACTACCAGGATAACCTTGCCAACAGTGACAGATATGACAGCTACCAGAAGAATAGTACCTCGTGAT